CACATACCCATGTACAACTACTGAACTGAAATAAAAATCAACTTCAAGAGATCTACATGTCGTTTTTGTCAAATATTGTATGTAATGGTAACTAATTTAATAAATGTATAAGTAAATTCCGTTATTCCATATGAGGGTAAAACATGGTCATCAAGAGTAGAGGATACTCGTAGATTATCAGTATTTGGTCATAAGTGTCTTGGAAGTATTGCTCGTGTTTTGGGACCAGTGAGTAGGGAATCACGAGGTGAGGGATATGGTACTAGGTAAATAAGTCAGATCTATTGATGATGTGGTGAATCTTAGTCAACTGACGTGGTTGGATCATGTATTACGTATAACCAACCACTGTTTACCACAGAGGGCGATGTTGTCTGGTGTAGGAGTTGGCTGAAAGAATGTTAGTGATTGCCAATCAACGTTGCGGGATCAGTCAATGAAGTCATTGATAATTGGATGTAGCCACAATAATAGGTGTAGACTATCTGGTAGGTCTTATGATTATTGTGACCAATGATAAGTGACTTTGAATCACATGGCTCAATAATTGTATGCTATAGCATCCATTTTTTGTCTTCTCTCGAATTCTGAGGATCTCACAATAAATACGATCAGAGGTTGGAGACGTTGAATGATATAGTTCAAAATCTGTCACAATAACACGAATACGTTCACTATTTTTATTTCATTGGGTTTTGAGTTTGAATGTTATCTTTTATTCCTTGCATTCATTCAATCTCCTCGAAACAGATTGTCTATACTTAATATTTTCTACTGTTGATATTGTTACTGATTCTACTACTGTAATAATATATCTTGGTAATTTCAACTTATCATGCTAATTTATTGTGAAAACTTGAACTGATACAAATAAACCTGGTTCTACTTTGTTTCGATTAACTGATGAGGTGTAAACATCTTCACACTTGGTAACTGAGTTACAATGAATCGTTACAGAGCTTCGAACCATAGAACTATCATAGTCTACACAAGATGATTGTTCTTTAATTTTGTGTGTATAATTTATGCTTGATATGTTAACATATTAATTTTTCGGCGTAATAACTCTATCATTATTTTTGGAATTGTTATATTCTTCGTTCACCACAATTATCTAATACATCGGGCTCACCAAATAATTGTGGTGAACGAAGAATATAACAATTCCAAAAATAATGATAAAGTCATTACGCCTAAAAATTAATGTGTTAACATATCAAGCATAAATTATGCACACAAGGAAATTATACAGGACGTTACTTAAACTATCAGGAATTGGCGTGTTCGAGTTTCTTTTGATCTAGTAATCCACAATTATAAGTAGTTAATAATTCCAATCACAACTGTTATAGTCCGTCCAAGGTGTATATCCAGATAAAGCATATAATGAGAATATCACTGTGATCTGTAAACGTAGATAGCAAATATATTAGGGTTCTGTTATCATAACAGCAGATAATTGAGAACAAGAAGCACATATGTACAGCAGTGTATTTCTGAGTGATAATGAGTGTGTCATCCTATGGGGAATTCAAAATACAAACGGAAAACCTAATGTCATCTGTTTTTAAACAACTATTTTGCAGTCAATCATAGTAATTGTACCAATTATGAGAAGTAATGAAAGAAATGCTAATAGTAGCAAAAGCTAGTTACGAAATAAGTCTCTTCTAACTATCTCCACAAATAACTCAGGGGTTTCATTCAAAGTTATGTGTCCCTACGTCATCATATTGATAGAGAAGATTTACAAAACAAGCAAAGATTGATGATGATTGGCAGCGGAATCCAGTACGTGTGTTGCATCCTACTTAGGACTCGTCAGTTGGGTGTACCTGGAGTTGATGTTCACTTCAGTGGGAAATAGTAGTAATGACTCATTTTCTCAATTAAAGAATAAAGTGTACGAAATTGTAATCACTTAAAAATAAAAAGATAAGACAACAAATAACCCTTTTTGAACGTACAAACTCGTATATTCGGTTTCAAACCATACTTTAAGTGTGATTTCTAGCGATATTATCTTGCTAATCATACTAAATTTGTTTAATAGAGCTGGGTTTTGAACCTTCTACTTTGTGGTTGAAAGTTGAATGTCTTGATCGTTAATTAACAATTCCATTTGGTGAATGAATACGATTGTTCTTGATCGCGAGCGATGTCACTTATTTAATACGACTTTTTTATGTAAATCCACGTAAATAAAAAATGTACAATCTTCCTGATCCCATAATCTAATCAATCACTTCTAGCCACTTACCAAGCTTCTTAAGTTTATGTCTTCTTATTTCTATCACTATTCGAATGATATTTCTGGTCTTCCATATTGTGCTGGCATTTCATGTACTTATATGTGTTGTTATTCTGGTTGTCAAAAGGCTTCTGAATAAAAACGGCTTTCACAATGAAGTGTCATAACTCTTCAGTATGAAGATACTTCAACTCCCGGGGCAAAGTTTAAGTAGTTCAAACATCTAAAGCTGAAATATCGACTTAAGCGCCCAAATGATTTGATTATCGAAAACTACTCACTGACTAGAAGATTAGATTTCTATGTAATCAAACAATGTACTTGTAAAAAATTTTAAGCATAAAAATACGCACAATAAAATATCGTAGACGATTGAAAAGGAAATTAGTTCTGTGCATCACTTACTGTCTAATCATTTAAGACAGTTGTTAATCCTAGTCCTTTTGAACATTTATATCGATAACTCTACACAATACAAAATTATCTTAAGGTATATTTCATTTCTTAATTATTGAATTCCACCCCATTGTCTCTCTCTCTCTCTCAGATTCAGACAAGTTATTCTAACTGTAAACAATTTGCTATAAACATTGGCATATTCTTGAATTAAATGTATCAATAACAATGTCTTATGTAGTTGTCGTTGTTGTGCAATTTACACAAGGGATATAATTTGTTTAGCTGCATACCATGTGTCTACATTTCGTTTAATATTCCTAGTGAAAATGCAAAATCTTACAAGGGATTTTTAATCTTATTCGAAAAGAATTTTACCCACATGTTTTGATGCCAATTTACTCTATCTGTTGTAGTTCAAGATGTATATCTATCTTCTATCTGTTGATCAGTTGAAAACTAATACTATATGACTAACTAATCTGTTATTATTTCTGGAATAGTGAAACATAACCGTTCAATTATTATTTGTAAGGGTGTTTAAATTATCCCGTTGTTAGTATTTAGAACGGAATTTTGACCAGCAGTTGTTGGTATATGTGTATCGTATATAAATTACCGAGATAATAGCCATTTTAATCATGCCTTTTAGGATGAAATATGCATTTTTGATTCCATTGTTAACTACATTCAATCTACTCTATCAAACATTTGAGACAATGGGTATTTCGAGAAAAAACCCCAAAAGATGAAATACAAGCGAACAAAGACTTATCAAAATTCAGTTTTAATTATGAACAACTCATACTAGTTATTGTCTATATGGATATATTAGTTAGAAGTGTATAGCACTTTGACTTTTGTAATGGGATATACTGTGTTCGAGTCTCATAGTGGGCATCAACAACAGGATACATATACATACACCTTATGCATCCCAAATAAAAAAAGCACACGTACCAGCTTTCACTGCTAGCTTGATGCTGTGGATAACACACATTGTTTGTTAGTACTTGATTATTTTCTATGTATCAAACACTTGTACATTGACTAATTCGGATTTTTAGTCCACAAATCTGATATCGCTTCTTAAAGTTCTTGATTACAAAGCCGAGCTTTGCTGTGGGAGTAAACGAATTGTACTCTACCATAACAAGGAAACCATAACAGAAAAATGGTTCAGAGTCGTTTTTATTGGCAGTAAACGGGGCTCGGATACATTCATTGTTAATCTTCCGATAAATCTTCACTTCGTTTCATCCAAAATTCTATTTCCTAATCCGATACGTCGTTTTCTATTCCCACCTTTTCATTATATTCCTCTTTTAGTCTTGTTGCTTAGTGTAAGATAAAATTAGCAAATGCAATATTTTCCTATGGTTCTTGTGCCTACCTGTTTAACTTATTAAAACACAACTACTTTCAAAGTCTTACACTATTCGTTCCATAGTGTTATTTTCCATGATTATTTCAGTGAAAACGAATATTATTATTATCATTCAACATCTATATGCAAGCTTATCATTGATCACTTGGTAGTGGACCAATGTCTTGTTTGTTTTGTCTTTTTAGTGCTGATCGAATTCTATCGACAGAGTTGCCACTTGTCTCTATGACTCGGCATCACGTGCACTATAATATAGTGTTAGATAATTGGAGGTAGTCGCCAGGAAACACTAGACTTAGGTTTCATGCTATTACAGTATCGTCACCAAGGCAAATGTTTTACGGTATACCTTGCTGACCGACGATAGGTTCATACACCACCCATTTCCCTAGGATCGTGGGACTCATATAGCCAATTGGTTTGGAGTTGTTGTTTTGCAACTCCTGTAGTTGGACCCTCCTTACCCGCAAACCCGCTTAAAGATCCGAATACTCGCTTTTGGTTCTCTCAATTTCGTAAACAACACACCATCTACGAAAATGCAGTGAGTAAGAATTCTCTGATAGAGTGGCTGTATACGCGTAGCCATGTGAGAGCAATTTGAAAGAGGGAGCAGACTCTCCTCACTCTCGGCCCTACCAAAGATTGATCACATTATGAGACATTTCTTGAATACCCTTGAAACTTTACTATGAATTATTTTTAAACATGGATTTCAATATAACCAAGGTAATTATGATTATAGTGTGGGAAGTCAGTACATTCTTTTCACTCATATTTTATGCTTTAAATTTGTGTGTCAATCATTTAAGATAAATCCAGCCATCAAGAAAAAAAAGGAATTCTTAATATTCAATAGTTCTACAATTTTTTTTATCAATCTTATTGTTCATTCTGCACAATCATTGATTGAATATAATATTTAGAATTTATGTGTAATATTAGTTACCTTTTTTGTTATTGTAGTTGGCTACAAAATTTCCAATCAGAATTAAATCGTCTCGATGCCATTATTCAACGTTGTCTTCGTCGTATGTGTCGTGTCACTACAACTGGCACATTAATATCTCAATTAAATGAAGCTGGTCCCACCTATGCTCGGTAAGTACTCGTGTGACTTCATATGTACTGGAGATATTTATTTAAAATTTTTTCTCTATAAACAAACTTTTGGAAACGTATGGGATTGCTCGATACTTGGTTGTTCCCATATTTAAGTGTTTGGGATAGTGTGCTGCCCACCTCAGTACTTCTCAGTTGTATTTGAATCCTTGATCTTTAAAGCTTTGTCATCAGTACGATTTATACCTACCATAATCGCTATCTAATGTAGCTTGTGCACGTAAACACTCCATAATTGATATACTTGGTCACATCTTTCTCCTTGTATATCTTCTGGTAGAATGAGCCGTCAATACATTAGAATCCATGCCCTCGAGCGAAGACTTATATTCTCTACAATGCTTTGTGTAGCAAATATACACTGACGCACAGGATGTTAGAGCTGACCTATTCAGTAAATTGTATTCCTAGCTTACTCCTGTTACCCCTAATAGAGCATAGGCCCACTCTGTTCTGGACCTTCTTTTCTAGTTCTATCCAATTGTTGTTCATCCTTCTCATATTTGTCTGCATTTCTCGGCGTAATGTGTTCTTTGTTCTTCCTCCTTTCCTTTGACCTTGAGGATTCCAAATGAAAGCTTGCCTTGTGGTTCAGTTTGATAATTTGTGCGATGTATGTCCTATCCACCTTCATTGTCTTTTCCTAATTTCCTTTTCATTTAGAAGCTGATTTGTTCTCTCTCATGGTAATAATAATAATAATAATAATAATAATAATAATAATAATAATAATTTATATTCTGAAAATAATAATTACAGAATTCACGCCGGTTTACAGGCATGATCAATTTGATATAAATTTATTTATTTATTTATTTATTTATTTATTTGAACACATAAATATTGGTACAAGAGAGCGCCAATATATATGCGCCACACAAAACAATGAGAATTCGAAGAGAAGTAGAAAGAAAAAAAAACTAAGGAACGCAAAAGAAAAAGAGAACAATGACGAAGAGATTGGAGTAAGGTAGTGTGGTAGTAACGACGGAACGAAAAGGTACAATCAGAAATCTTTCAGGTAAAGGAGACCCAACCACTTTTTATGAAGAAAGTAAAAGAAGGTTACAGCAGGATCGCCACTGGCTTCTATTCTGAGCCATATCTGATAACGTCTCTAGCCACTGTGTAGCACCATCTCTCGGACCCCAACCAGGGAGTCGTGAAGGACCGACAGAAGCCAGTCCTTTGCAGCTTTCTTTCATGCCACGACACCATGTCATGCACTGACCACCTCTCCGCTTCTTCCAACCAGTCCCAGAGTCGGCAAATAATGCACGACGTGGAATTCTCTGGGACGACATTCGGAGAACATGTCCAAGCCACCGAAGTCGGTGTTTCAAGATGGTGACACCAATTGAGTTATCATCTCTGTGCCCGAACACACGATGCCGAACCTCTGCATTACTGACATGGTGTTGCCACTGAATGTCAGCAATCCTTCGGAGACAGCGATGATCGAACACAGAGAGTCGTCTAACGTCCTCAACTCAGAGAGGCCAGGTTTCACAAGCATAGAGCAAAACTGCTCTCACCGACGCGTTGTAGATCCGGCCTTTTACAGCCAGACTAACATCACGAAGGCGCCAAAGGTGGCCCAGATTGGCATAAGCCGCTCTGGCTTTCACTATTCGTGCATTGATCTCATCACTCACGCCACCACCAGCACTTATGCAGCTACCCAGATACACGAACTTCTCGACTACTTCTATCTGCTCACCATCCAGGGTGAGTACAGGGTTAGAATCCTGCCAGTCTTGTAGAAGTACTTTGCACTTCGAAGGTGCAAAGCACATACCATACCTACGGACACTGATTGTCAACTGATTAAGTGCGGATCGCATGCCTTGGGCATTATCGCACAGTAAGACAATATCGTCCGCATACTCAAGGTCGAGAAGTCTTTCTCCAGGCAACAGATCCACACCACTATTACTTACATTCATCATAGCTGTTTCCAGAATGTCATCGATGGCAAAGTTGAAGAGGAATGGTGAGATTGGGCAACCCTGCCTAACCCCACTGCTCGAATGGAACAATGGAGAGAGGTGGTTGTATGCCCTCACTCTGCCTGAGGTGTTTTTATACAGGGCTTTTAGGATGTTAATAAACTTCTCAGGCACACCCTTCTTCAATAGACAATCCCAGTGAACAGTTCTGTCCAACGAATCGAAGGCAGCCCTGATGTCAAGAAACACTACGATTGTTGGCCTTTGATAAGTATGGCGGTGTTCTAACATTTGTCGGAGGGTGAAGATATGATCAATACATCCTCGACCAGAACGAAACCCAGCCTGCTCCTCGCGAGTCAATCTTTCTCGGGTTTCGAACAACCTACGAAGTATGACGGAAGCCAATAGCTTGGACGCAATTCGAAGTAGACTAATCCCCCGAAAGTTGTTACAGGAACGATGTGAACCCTTTTAAGAGATAGTACAACTGTCGACTCATTCCATGACGTTAGTACACTCTCTAGTTCCCAAACCTTTGTAAACAACGTCGTCAATTCCTTAGTCAGAAAGTCTCCACCATCTTTAAAACGAGCCGGAGGTAAGTCACCTGGGCTAGGTGGTTTGTAACACTTCAAGAGTTGGAGTTCCTTGCGGACTTCCGTCTCATTTAATGGATCAGTCGTCACCAGCCACGGAGGGCAGGACAGTCTGACCGATGTTGCCGGAGCAGCAGGCCAGTTGAACTGCCCTTCGAAAAATTCTGCCCATCGTCCAAGACGTCGATGGATGTTAGTGATTGGCATCCCATCATCCTCGCAGATTGTTTCACTCACACCAGACTTCTTGCTGCCAGTGGCTCGGATGAGTTGGAAGAGCTTCCGGTAATTACCAGATGCAGCTGCTGCTTCCAGCTCATTATCACGCATCGACCACCAGGCTTCTCGGTCCTTACGCAAGCTTTGCCCAATTTCCTCACGTAACATCCTTCGTTTATGGTCAAACTCACGGTCACCCGGAGTAGACCGACGGGCTACAATGAGTTGTAAGGAGCCAGAAGAAACCCAGTGCTTAAAAGCGGGACGTTTCGCAAACCCACAACTGACTGTTCCCGCCATTTTCATGGCGTCATGCAATTGCAACCAATGCTCATCTATACTTTTCGATGGAGTGGTAGCTAGCCTAGAGGCTAGCTCGGTTCGATACTTATTTGCAACAGAAGTTGCAACCAGCTTGCTAACATCAATCTTTTGGTGGTGGTCACTTCGTTGGCCACTGAAAAGTAAGGCAAGATTGGCGCAGACCAAGGCATGGTCAGAGTCCAGATAGGTACTCCAAAAGGAGCGGCAGTCTTTTACACAACCACGCCAGCGGTAGCTGATCGCGATGTGATCAATCTGAGTCCAGGCTTGAGATGCAGAGGGAGGACGCCAGGTGGCACATCGGCGATGACTGTGCTGAAAGTTAGTGCTAGCCAGAAACAGGTTGTGGTCTGCGCATAGTTGCAGTAGACGGTCCCCGTTATCTGACCTGCGACCAACAAGTCCCCATCGGCCACCTAAACGACACTCTTCTGTGCCTAGACGCCCGACCTGAGCATTCAAGTCTCCGGCTAGTACTACAATATCTGTCGAACGCACTTTCTGGAGAAGAACAGATAATTGGTGGTAAAACTCATCCTTGATTGCATCCGGGCTGCAATCTGTCGGGGCATAGGCGGAGATGACGAAAAGACATCGTTTCTCACGCCGATTTCTTCTCACTTTGATGGAACTTTCTAATCTAACAGCACATAACCGACTGTTAATGGGGATCCAATCGACTAGTGCTGCCTCAGCTCTAGCGCTTAGTGCGACACCAACGCCAGCAAGACCAGCCGAAGATGCCACAGGGTCCCCGGATAAGCGCACGTAAAACAAACTTTTCGAAGCGACAGATGTAGAGCGAATTTGTAGTACTTCATCAGAGTCTTGAATACGGGTCTCGGATAGACAACACACGTCGATATTAAGACTTTCCAAAGACATAGCCAGCCCTATCTGTTGTCCGACCTGCATAAATGTGCGAACGTTGAAGACAGCCAGTTTGAATGGTGCATGTGGTTTCAGAAAAACTGCTTCAGTACTCATATTCAGTGGTAACATACAATTTTCAACCGGACAGTGACTCGAGAACGTTTAGATACAGTCGGAGTGATGTAACCTATTAGACGTTGAGACTTAGTGGTCTGTTTTAATATCTGTTCTGTAATCGACAAGTCTTGGGAGTATCTAAGTCCTAAGTCTACTACTGTATGTAGGTAGGTAGGTTTTGTTGATGGTATCTGGTCAACAGACATTGAGTATCTTTTGTAGACAATTGTTCATAAATACTTGTACGTTTCTGATGATGGTTGTAGTAGTTGTTGAAGTTTCAGCTCCATTCAATTGAACTGTCTTGACGTTCATATTGAAGATTGTAACTTTGATATTAATATTAGTTGGTTGGTAGTTGTTTTGATTTCCATATATTCTTCAACTGTAGAAATATCGCATCTTATTTGACACATGTGACAATATAAAAAGTATCTGTTTTTATGTACAAAAAATTATTTGTGTTAACTTCTCTTTTTTCCTTGTATGACCTAGTTTAATATGTTTATGTGTGTGTGTGTGTATGTATGTATGTGCAACTTTTTCTCCAAGTTTCACTTTACATATCGGCTGATTTTCTACTGTTATGATTCACGTTATAAATAAATCATCATTTGTGCTGTATGGTTTATTTGTCTGTTTTTTTTTGTGCCTTTTTTAAAAAAAAACAATAGAAATAAATCTATGTTACTGTTAATGAAAATTCTTTCGAAGTACACATGATATGTAGGATATGCTGTATATATGTGAATGCATGTTAACAGATTGATCATATGACTGAAATTCTCTTTTTGTGTGGTCATTAATCATAACTATTTAGTTTATTCTATTAAAGTGTATTGTAGTATATATTTTATACGATGTATTGTATATTGGTTGAATAAATGACAATGTATTTGTCGTGAAACAGCATCCCACGATCGTTGTTGCTACCCTGACGTGGTGGTCGGGCTTGCCTATTATGATGAAGTAACCGAGCCATACTGGCCGGAACAACCGTTCCTCAAGGTCCTACCATGCCAGACAGGTCGGTTGAAGAGCGGTAAATCTAAAAGCAACAAACCTAAGGTCTGAAGGCGAAGTCTTACTGCTGACTGTACAGAGGTATGACAGCAGTAAGGTGTTTCTTTCAGACAACCAGCATGACAGCTATGCTGCCTTCTCACAAAGAGGGGTGGGGTTAGAAAAGGTTGACCCTAAAAATGCACACCTCGCCCTATCCCATGGACATCCGTCTCTGGCGGTAAGGTCTCAAGAAGTACGGAGCTAACACAAAAATTACTCATAAAAAGGTTGTGTGTGACCGACTTGAAGCAGTTGTCCCTTGGTCACTGCGTTCACTCTCTCAGGTCACTAAGACCACTTCTAATCCAATTTCCTTTTCAGGTACCTCCAGAAGAACCCTTACACGGTGTGGGCAACCGGAAAGTGATAATCGCCCTCATACCTCTAACAGCACTCAAGACCACTGAAACAACATCCGTACAAGTATCCTATATAAGATAATATAGTTGATTTCAATTAGAAAAAAAATTACTCCATAAAGGATTGAGTACTTACAAAGAGATACTTAACGGCTAAAGCCCCTTGCATATATGGATAAAGCTCAAATAGATGAAATGGAATACAATTCATTGTACTATGGCAACTAATTAAGTGGATCTGATTTCTTTATATCATTTTAATCCACTTAATTATCTAAACAACAACCGTTACTTTTAACTGGTCTAGCCAGTTGGTTTATTTGAATCTATGATGAACAATCAATTTTGTCAACAGAATCACACATGCGTTCATAATTTTTTTATTTCTAAAAACTTGATTTTATACATATTGTGACATAGTTAACTCATATCATTTATAAATATTGTCCGTATTCAACAAAATATTGACCGATCACAAGTGATATTATGGTCAGTGAAATTATTTTGCTCTCACCTCAGATCCACTGACACACATATACAATTTGTTGTCTTGACACACCACATGTCTTGTAAGCACTACAGAAAATTCTTATTTTCAACCTTGTTAGATGTCCTATTTAGTATATAGTTAACTGGAGAACTATTCACCTACTTATATTCGATAATTTTGATGTTTCATTATATTTCTTTGAAAAACCTTCAACCAGATTACCGAGTGAAACGTTGGATTTATTTAAAATGCAATAGCTGAAATTTTTACAAAAATATAATTTCTCCTTCTTAATATCTTGTATGGGATCAGATATTTTGGTCTGTGAACGGGCACTAAAAATGAAGTTTGTGTACTCTGTTCATTGACTTTCCCACTAATATATTTGTAAAGAAAAGTAACATCACAGTTATAACATTTCAGTTATTGATGGAATTTGTAGTTAAGTAATCGCTCAATTGTAGTTAGGAGTAAGGTATCATTCAATCTTCGAGCCGTACATTCTGTTTAATGTCCAAACTAGTGAACAATTTATTCAAACTCGGCTTTATTTCTCGACATTATGCATGTATTTAGTCTGTAGTTTACAAACGTGTATATATAGGTGTTACATGACTTTTCACTCTTCATTATACAATTGAATAGGTTGCACTATTTCTTCTCAGATTTTTCTCAGTTGATTACGCCTTTATGTCTTTTTTTAGACAGAAACGATACGTTAGTGTTCGAAGCACACGACTTACAAACACTAGGTCAAAAGTTCAAATAGCACTCCACTTGCTTTTGGGTTTAGACAGCCTATCATTAATCCTCACATAAATAATGTAACTCGAAGCCAAGTTCGTAAAATCATATTTGGTAGGTGTACGGAATTGCTTTTAGATAAGTTAAACCCATTACTATCATGTAAGATAGTTGCTAAATATTTGTCTGTGGATATAACGAATCTAAACGTTAGTATACTTAGACTTTAATATTTGAATTTATGGACTGTATCTAAATCTGTTGTAACGACTACTTACTCTAAGAATGTATTGATTGGGTAATAATTATTTAATGGATTAAATATCTAAATAAATTTACTGCTAATTAGTCTCTTAAAAAGTTTATGCTGATCTTAAAAAGTCAACTACTATAAGCTCTAAATTGCCTACCGATCTTGTGTTTTTGAGTATTAGATGAGATGTACAACAGTGGAATGTAAAAAATCCTCTCGTACAACTGTAAAAACTGCTGAGAGAATTCGGTTTATTTTAATAATGCACCTATTTAATTGATTTTATGTTTATTTGTTAAGTTTACTTCTAATTTCCTCCTCTTTTTTTGTGTGCTTTTTTCTTCTCTTAATTATCAATAGCTGTTTAGCTGAAATTGTTAGGCGTACGGAATTCGACGATATGCTTACTCAACGATCTGTATGTTATCTTAAAGAGGAAACTAATTTGAGAACTGAAGAATGTCGTCGACGGCGTATATTTTCTAAACATTTAAGTATGTTTTTTAAATGTCAACATGTTATTAATACTATATTCTAGTACTTTGAATCATTCATTGATCTGTGAGCACATTGATCCCTAACTTGATTATCCCTGTCATACTTACATTTTCTACCATATGTATCGAATAGATTTTTTATGCAATACCCAGTTTTAGCTGCTACTTGTTTATGACCTATCAAATATCACGTGACAAGGTTGCCAATCTGAATACTGACTTCTATGATCTTATGCCTGTGTTCAACCAATGATGCGTCAAAACAACACTAACAGCCTTAAGTGAACTCATGGTCCTCATTGGTTTTCTGTACAGTAATTCTTCGCCTAGATCAGTCTAGAACACAAATATCAGGGCCCACTAATATGAATCATATATTTCAGACATACGTGGTTTATATACAAGCAGACCAAACCTCATAGTGGGAATATAATTGATGGATGAAATTTGAAAGACACTAAAGTGACCTTGATAATGTCCACTTACTAACGAGGATTAAATGAGGTTTATAAACCAGTGAGAAGAATTAGAATTTTGATTCACAGTTGATGGTTAGGGTTAGGAATTAGATTTACGGTTTTCATCACAAACTGACATCAGCTAAAATTCAAAACTCTATTTAGTCAAATGGCTGAGTTTCGCGCCAAAAACCCAGGACCTGTTATTTTATATCTGATTGGGTCGTCCATAAGCTATAGTCTCACTGACCGCATCTCACCATAAAATGAAAAATTATAACCATACAAAATCAAGCCAAAAGCGGCTGTGAGTATGGATGATTGTAACTGATAAATCAGGAATAATTTGTGAATGAATTATCAAAGTATTTCAGTGGTAAAAGTAACAATTTCTTTTGGAGATCTAGTTTTATTAACATTGGTCTGATCATAAGGTTGGTGTTAGCGGGATATAGACTGGATTAAAGCATGCGTTAGTCACTACTTAGTGACCACTCTAGAAATCTCCTCATGTGAAAAAACTATAAATATACTAACGTTTTCCCTATTGCGCTACTTACTTGCTTCTTACTTCCATCTAACCTTGTTATTTGGAATATAATCTCTTTCCTGTTCAACCGTATTCTGATTTAGGGACTTGGCGAGTAAATCGGTGTCCGAGAATAATAAGCAATAGGGATAGCTGGGTTATAACCGTAAGAGAGAATTATAACAGTTGGATTTTAAGCGCTACTCGTGATTGTATAACGTAGTAATGGATTCGAATGCTCTTTTTCCAGTCAAATTTATTTTTGTTTCCTAGATCTAATGGTAGTATTTTGTTGGATATTGATCAAGGTATATGCCTAGACCTTTAAATTAGCTTATCATTTAGTTAAACAATCTTAACATTTTTGATACCACTCATCAAACAATTGTACTCATTTAATGATAATTTGAAAAACTTAGATCATATGTAACTTACCCCAGACTCCATATACTGAGACGTGTGTTGTTAGCTGATGTGAGAGATCGGAAGAAGACTATCCATTGCTAAAGCCAGTTATGACACCAGTTCATAAAGTCATTTGACTATTAGTCTCAACCATCTTAATACATTCAGACTACTTGGCTAGTGTTTGCGCTATAATCGTGATCAATGATTTGATGAGACTATGAGTGACACGACTCAGAATCTCGGACGTAATAGCTTTCTACATTCACTCTTCGTCTACCGCTGAGACAAAATATTTTTTTGACCTTTTCACTCTTTTTTCTCAAATTATGTATCCTATTTTACTATCACTTCAATTTTTCCTATAACCATCATAATTTCATGTGATATAATAACTTAGACTAATACACATTAATGCCATGTTGTGACGTTGTTTTTATCTGATTTAGTCATTAAGTTATATGGATTGTAGACTCCCAATACTTATTCAAACACATTAACATTGATACTTGGGGGCATGCATCAGAAATATATGCATGGTGGTTTTATAAAGGAGCCACTCCCTGAGTATTTCACCTAGAAGTCTAATCGACAAGTCGGTGGAGCAATGTTGGGAGATGTAGTCTCATGGTAGTCGGTGACCAACAATAGGTTCGTACACCATTCTTTTTTCAAGATCGTGGATTCCATGTTCGCAATTGGTTTGGAATTGTGGTTTGGTAACTCCCCTAGTTGGATCCTCCGGGCATTCGCTTTTGGTCCTCTCAATTTCATAAATAACACCTCATTCACGAAAACGTAGTGAGTATGACTTCCCTGAGAGAGTGGCTGTATATTCGTTATTATGTGAGAGGGAGATCAGACTCTACCCACTCTCAGCCGTACTAGGCCATTTTGAGGTACATGTACTAATAGTCTTAATTGTAAGAAGAAAATTAGGCATCGAATTTACAATTCGGGAAAAAATATCAACTTGTGAAATGAAAAGAGATTATGATGAATTTAGAAACTTGCGACTTTATGAAAGGTATAGAGTGAATGGCACATGCATCATTGCGAATGGTTTGGATCTATGTCATTCAAAGTCTCTGACCACTAGTTACGGTAATCTCGTAAACCACAACCAATCAGTTTACGCCTACCTACATGGTTCATTCCCATGGTCACTTTTTTCATAGATTCGTATCATGTCTCGGTCTGTGCGTCATTCGCCTTCTACCAATATGCTCCTCCATCAGCTATCGTCTATTGTCGAGTTATGATTAATTGGTTTTTGAACATTATTAAAGTACTTAATAACAAATTGTATTTCATTTTAAAGCATAATTTTCTTCTTCTATCCCCAGAAAATAACGTTCTACATTCACTTTTTTCACCATGGACTAATTCAAAAGCGGAATGTCTCGGGGTAAATGATCACTTGCTTTATTGTTTAATTCGTTTCTCCGGTATATTGCGGTTTTCATGTATTGTTATGTTTTAACTGTGAATCGAACTTTGTTTGTTTAAGTGTTTATGTGTTTATGTATATGTTTGAAAGCTCTCAATTTTATTTACTCGACTAAAGTGAAGTACACATCATATCTCAAAGTTCACATCTGATCTGATCAGTAGTATTGTTCATAAATCATAGAATTTTTAGCAAATACATTGTTAATCAATGCATTTTAAGAATTCATGCAGTACTGTTGTTTTGCCTTGATAAAATTGACTTTAGAATGTTCAAAGTTGGTAATGGGATTAAAACTTCAAAATATACGTTATGTTAGCTTACAAAAAGAGATATATTTGTATGTTCATTTGATATATTTATTATATGCTTGATTTAGTGACTGTTCTTAAATTCGATAATGAAATTACTATTCGTTACTTTTGACATTCAAATTCTTATATACTTGTTGTAATCAGTTGTTATACAATAGCTATTTGATTACCGTTACCTTAATGGTCTGATTTTGTATAGGTTGTTTTAAAATGTAGAAAGTGTTGATCATGGATCTCTTTCACTTGAGGTACTGTTAGTCAACACACTAGGGACTTCAAAATGAATAACATTTGATGGTTGTCACTCAATGTCACATATTGATTAGAGTTGAGTTTGTTCACCTGGATGCGAATGGTGAAGCTCCTTTTTTGCCTAACTAGAAGGTTATGAATTTGATTCTTAGTAGTGTCATGCAATGCACATTGCTATAGAGTCCCATATTTCTAGTTCCCCCTGATTTTCAGCTATACTTTAACTGAGACCAACTCGTGATGAATACCGTCTGCAGAATAATATAATTTGTTTTTTAGATTCACATAATCGATTCTTGTCTATTTTGATGTTTATCACGTAACTTCACTTTATCTATTATTCTTATCATTATCTGTTCATGTGTATAGCTTACCAATATACCAGGAACAATTTCTATGTCACAAGATGTAGTTGAACAGCAAATGTGTGAAACATCTACTACCACCACCATTACTACTACTACTACCACTATGACTACTACTACATCTAATCAAAAAGTCGATTCACTTTCACATAGTCCTCAAACAAATGCAGCAGAATTCACAGTGAATCGACGATATGCCTTATCTTCTTTATCTGAACCACGTTTAAATGAATTAGCCAAAGCTTGTGCATTGAATCGTGTACAACATTCGCGTGTTCGTTCAACTCGATTAAATTCACTCAGTTCACCAGATCCTCAGTTGACTAAAGTTAAAGAAGATGAAGTGATTGAATCGGATCAAAGTAAAAAACGTTCAAATTACAATTGTCCTATACAACACCAACCAGTTCTGTTACGTCCACCACATACTAAAGTAATGCTTGATGCTAATCGTCGTGCTTCAATGCCATTTGATGAATCTGATCGAGGTGAATTATCCAGTCTATCAAATTGGTCAGTTGATTCGTCATCATTATTAGGTATATTATCGAATAATTTCTATCAAACTGATCATCATAATCTATCGAATATAACACAATCAGTTAAAATTACTCGTGATGATTTAGAAAGGTTAATGCAATCTATGCCTACTAATATATCTAATTTATTAAGGATGGAATTGAATAAATCGTTTTCACTATTTAAAAATACTTCTTTTCTACCTAATTCATCATTAACCAATCCGAGTGGGAGTGTTTCTTTAGATCAAACATCCAATATTACTAACAGTACCGGTTTTATCTGTAGTAATAGTAGTAGTCCATTATCAAATTTAAAATCAACTATCATGACGCCAACAACAACTGCCAAAACATCCGTATCTACAATGATAACTAGTACACAAATTAATATGCCTGAAACAAAATCTATTACAACCTCTCCATTTAGTAGTTTAGAGAATATATCAACAAGAGATTTTATGAATGTTGGTTGTCAAGCTGAATTCGGTTTAATTGGACCAATTCTAAATGTTGGATCTGGTCGAAGCTTGAATTCTAGCCTTGGATTATCTGTTGATGAGTAAGCGTTTTACCTTATTTTGTTTTGTTATTCAGACTCATCTGAATTTTACCAACTAATTTATTATGTATACATAACTTTTATTATTATTATTATTATTATTATTATTATTATTATTATTATTATTATTATTATTATTATTATTATTATTATTATTAAATAAACTACCCTTTTCAGAGATACAGTAAACAGTCCTTTCTTTATAAGCGAAGATGGATGGTGGCCAGCAGTGGAATCTAGAACACGCGTTTCGTCCTATTTGGGATTGCTCTGTTCAATGCTTATAATGCTTGTGACCTAAGGCGATATCGAGGCAATCCGTATGGGATGCACATATGCCAATAAGAGACTGATCAATTGCATTCCTAAATATCAATGGAAAGATTCGAACAAACAAAAAAGAGAATTTAGTCCTTTCTTTATGTAATGAAAATTTCTTCAAAAGTATAAACGTTTACTAAATTACACAATATTAATTTATCTGTTGACCAATATCACCATTAGATAGATATAATGAGATAATTTATAATTATCATTTCTCCTTTGTTTTATCTGGGTTCTTTTTATAAGGGCAATTGATTCAATGAAACAAAAGAACATATTCTTTCATTGGTTCAATCATTTATAAAACAATGTAGAGATGAGTATATATTTGTATTCATTCATGTTCCCATACCACATCAGTGGAATACTGCGATGAAATTAACAAGATGAATGATAAATAAATCAAAACAATATTAATGATTACTAATGTTTACATTCAATACTTTACTTTTAGTAAAATATAGAATTCTCAGCACAAAGTATTTCAACAAGTTCCCTTTTTTATTTCTTGATCGATCCTGGCGATAAATATTAAGCGATCGCCAGTTAGATGTAAGCAGTTAAGGAATCAACGTCTGATTAATGTTCGTTCTTTCCAATGCATATTGCCAGACATCACGACGTCTCTAATTGTACTGTTTTTGTAACTTGTACAGAAAAAGGTCGTAGACTTTTCATAAACGCCCCTGAATAATTTATGCGATTAATAGACATAATAAAGTATTAAACAAAAACAGATTTGTTGGAATATTTGGATGACAGGAACAGGTAGCCCGGATATTCAAGAAGGTCGCCAATAATATTGTTAATGAGAAAGTTTAAATAATGAAAATATTCTTTGAAAAGACTGGAAGAAAAGATATGTAGGAAAGAACATTAGTCTAAAGTAAGATAAGGAAGTGGATGCATTCACTATCCAATGTAATTGATTCTGAACCATTTCACCAAATATCTCTAATCATTAGTTATGATGATCTCGCAAACCCTAATCAGGTAGTCTACACCTATTGTTTGCTTTGGACCGTTCATTTAGTATCTCTGATAATGTCTGTCATCATCGGAAAATTAATCCAAACTATATTGGTCAAGTATATTTTATACGTAAATGATCATATCACCATTATTGTTATAGTTATAGTTATAATTATTAAGCTGTAAACTCTAGTATTTATATTGAGAGTTTAGTTCCATCACTTTCATTTAAATTTACATATCGGAAATTGTTGGGGTGATTCGGAGTATTCCTTGAAAAAAAGCTAGAGGGGTCCTGAAAACGCTGGGAAACGTTTTATCCAATCAACGTTCAATAGAAGTTCCTCAGAAACATCTAGAAAGTGAAGTCACGGGTTACATTTCTGATTGGATGATTACCTACCATGTCACTATGTTTGGTCAGGTTCCAGAACCTCCCAGAAGCTCAAAGCCATCTGAAACGCTATAAATACCCTTAATTTTCTGTACAGAAAGTAACAGAGTAAAGCCTGGGGTTACTAGAACAGCTCATGAAACCGATTCAAGCGTTCAGCCAGGAGATTAATCAAAAATACTGTCTACCAGTACTATCTTTAATTGCTATTCATTCGGTTGTAGTCATTCAAAACACTTCAGTTAGAATTAAATTTGAAATAATTCAGATTATCACGTTGTTGATGTTTTGTATTGAAATCCTATCAATCTTGGTTGGGATAGTAGCTTTCTGGGTGAATTTCCTCGATATAGCCATTATGGCATAAGTTGATATAGATTAGATGGAATTCGGCTAACAATGGAATCCAGAGGCGTGTTTCATTATGTTTTGGAATCATCACCTGGATGTACATACATCCCCGAATTGATGTTCTCTATGAGAATTGCGATGTCAGTTGAAGCAAATGGTACTGGGTTCGAGTCCCTGTGTGAATACCAACTCTGGAATGCAGGTACATTTATATGAAGAGTCTCAAATAGGATGAAATGCGTTCCTAGATCACACCGGTAACCATATTCTATCTATTCTATATTTCAGTTTTAACTCACCCATACGAAGGAATAATAGTGGCAACTAATTTTTTGTTTTAACGTGAATTTTTTAAAAATATGAACTAAATAACATGTGATTACATTTTTATTTAACCTCTTTATGAGAACGTGATTTACCATTCGCTAGTTTTCAACTTCTAATCCAATATTTCCTATTTTTTTCCCAGTTCAGTACGTCGTACTACAATTCATACAGTTAATAATATTCATACAGGCTGGGAAGAACTTCCAGGAAGTTTATGTAGTTGGGAATTATGTCGTTTTCCACCTGTGGCAGTACGTTCAGGTGATCGTATGTCAATTTCTTTGAATACGTTACCACGTTTTGAACATTTAGTGACTACTGGTACACAAACTGAAGAACAATTGGAATTTCCAGAATCTCATAATACATCTTATTCTCCTGTTAAACCTATAAGTACGGAAGAATTATGCTTACAAAATAGTGCGGCACACAGAAAAGTATGTCCTTTCTTTCCAAGAAGTATTATCATCTTCACGTATTAATGTGAATTAGTATCTTACCCTCTCCTTCCACAAATGATTAAACATCAATAGCAACCAAGTCATTTTATCTACATTTAATACTAAATAACCATACTTCAGCTGTAATTTCTCTATTGTTTTAATGAAAATGAGAAGATTATGGTTTTTGACAAAAAAAAACACGTATCAATCTATAGTGTATTTGGTAGTCAGGAAAACTAAATGCGAACAGCGACAGTTGGATATTCATTCTGCGACGAAACTACTAAAAACAGTTTCGATCACAATATTCTGTATTGTCACAAACTCGAATAATCGTATACAGAGTCTTGGATACACAAATAAGTATTTATATTCATTTGGTTTTGGGAAGGGATTTGCGAGATCTAGGAGTAATCAATAAAACTAGGAAGTAAACCTTATCATCCGGTCACCTATCTTCACATAATTCTCTCAGATTATCCATCACCGGATTTAATCATTTATTTTATTTATTTATTTGATTTAATCAAGAAGTCTCTAATCCATTCTGTTAACATTGTCGATTTTTAAAAAATAACGACTAATGCCATACTGTAAATCTGTGATTGATTTATAGACAATATCAACAATGTAAATTTAGAAACATTAAACAATACAACAGAGTAAAAAAGAATCCACTGATTTTGCTCACATTATGAAGTGCATATTATTATTTATTTATTTTCACAGTTGAATTCACTAGTCGATCTAAGCTAGGCCATCCAGTGCTTCCAGGTTTCTAATGATTGTCGTGCTTAGGTCGACTCATGAATTGAACTTAAAACAATCATGTTCTCACTAGTGACTAGCTTCAAGATAGAACTCCTGGAATTCTACTGAGAAGCCGTGATCAATGGGGTCCGATCCGTATCAGGTATGAGACAGTTGTCTACCTCAAACGATGGCTGAAGTTTTGTGCAAGATCATAAATAGATTGAAGTGATCTCGAGATTAAGCATTGGCGCGTGAGACCGAAGGTCTTGGGTTTGAGTCACGCGTATGTGGTCGTGGATGCTCACTGCTAAGGAAGTTCCGTGTCATAGCGAAATGACCGTCCAAGTTTTCAATACTGGTCTAGATTAAATTGACTTGTGAATTGAACTGTGAAAATTCCACAATCTCCACAAATCCTCATACTGATTTATTCATTATTTAGAGCTAAAAAACATTAATACTGAAACAAAAAGCACAGACCAATTGAAATCTTCTCTTAGACGTTTAATTGTCAGCTATATCCTATCGGTTATGTTAAATGCAACGTTAATTAATTGTGAATAAGTTAGTTTCAGTTTGAATTATTTTTAACGATAACATTTAAAACCTATGAAGTTGACTAGTATAGGTTGTTTTTTGTTCGTTTGAAATCTAATTCACAATATCATTTCTTTCAAGAATATAACTACATCGTTAAGGTAACTGCGCTCCAATTATATAAATGAGTTATTGGCACCATACCACATATGATTAGAAGGTTGTTCAGTAGATCTTTAATTTATGAGAACTTGGATGCCGAGTTAATGGTAAACATTAAGGCGGAGAAATTATATTTTTGTAAAAATTTCAGCTATTGAATTTTAAATAGATCCAACGTTTCGCTCGGTAATCTGGTTGAAGCTTTTTCAAGGAAATATAATGAAACATCAAAATTATCGAATATAAGTAGGTGAATAGTTCTCCAGTTAACTGTATACTAAATAGGACATCTAACAAGGTTGAAAGTAAGAATTTTCTGTAGTGCTTACAAGACATGTGATGTATAAAGAAAAGTGTGTTCAGATAACAAATTGTTTGTGTTCGTAAATGAAGTACTTATCAACTTTTTTAAAAGGTTCATTAAATGGTATAGATTTCGAATGACTTGATTATTTTCTGGTCTTTTCTAGTCTTCCCTGAATACAAAAAAATATACATAGAAGATTCGATAACAGTTTCCTCATCTAAATTTCCAGGAGTTGAACTTTTACCGAGCGATTCACTTTTTGACTTAGAATATGACGATGACATAGTTCTGTTTGGTGAAGACGCTGACAAAATGCAGAGTCTTCTGACCACTCTAGGCAACAATGCAGGCATGTTCAGGATGCGATTCTCCCCCTCGAAATGCAAAATGTTGCTTCAGGATTAGATTGCATCGAAACCCGAACTAATGATAGGGAGTGAAGTAATTGAGCGTGTCGATCGCTTCACTTATCTTGGAAGTCTCATCAGCCCTTGTGGTTTGGTGTGTGACGAAATCTCAGCACGGATACAGAAGGCTCGACTAGCGTTTGCCAACTTGCGTCATTTATGGCGTAGGCGAGATATCCGTCTATCAACCAAAGGACGTGTTTAGTGCGCATCAGTTTGTTCCGTCCTACTTTATGGCAGTGAAACATGGCCGGTAAGAGTAGAGGATATTCGTAGGTTACTAGTATTTGATCATAGGTGTCTTCGAAACATTGCTCGTATATGATGGGACCATCGAGTAAGTAACAAAGTTGTTAGGAAACGGGTACTAGGTAAGGATGGCAAATCTATTGATGAAGTGGTGAAACTTCATCAGTTGAGATGGCTTGGACACGTGTTACGTATGCCCAACGACCGACTGCCACGACGTGCTATGTTCAGTGGTATAGGAGTAGGTTGGAAGAAAGCTAGGGACTGACAGACTAAAACATGGCTCAAATCCACGAAGTCACTGACAAGTGAACTGATCCATGTTAGTAAATATAGACTACCTGGTTGGGGACCGCGAGATGATAGCAACCGATGGTTAGAGACCTTGAATGACATGGCTCAAAATCGTTTGCAATGGCGCAAATGAATCCACTCTTTCTGTTCTCCCAAATTCTAATCTTCTGGATTCTTCATGTCTCTTTTCTTTCTCTTTCCAAATTTATTTCACTGGATTATACTCCTTGAATAACATCTTCAAACCTTAATCTTTCAGATTACTGCTCATACTCTTACTACCTCTAATACTACGGGAATTGAATTGACAATTTTATCTCTGTGCTAATGTGGTATGGCAACTCAAACTGATGTACGTACGTACGAGGTTCTACGTTGTTACTGACTGACTGACGATGTAAGTATTTAATGGTAGATATCTTCCAGAACATTGGTAACATATGTTGGAATTAGTTAGGGAGCATTACAGTCAGTGGCTAGGCGTCAACCACAAGTTAAGAAGTGCAAGTTAATTATTTAAACCTAACAACCTTTTCTAAACTCATTTGTTCAGAACATGTATTATGTATGCCTGATTACATTATATATATTGACAGGAGTACGTATTTATAATTATTTAGAAGTAGAGGGATCAAGATGTGTTATTGATTCATTAGTTTTATAACCCCCTGTTTGCGCCACATCGATAAACTTAGGTTCCTTAGTTGAGGCCTACGAGATGAATTATAAAGTGTTTGTTAGTTCACATCTGATTAATAAGTAGTGATCAATGCCAGTAGTCGGCAGGAAACCCCACCCCCCAGTTTCTATGTTATTGTTCAACACTGATCTTTATTATCATAAAAACTCATATTTCAAAGGAACATACGAGTATACTACATTTTGATCTCAATGGAACTAATTGTATTTTCATTTTCTATTTTTTTAAACTCATTAAAAGAATTCAACTACACACGAGAATGACGACAATATCGTTGATTATCATCATCCTCAAACACTTCAAACACCTACTACTACCACTAGTACTATTGTTAATCAACATTCATCTTCTTCATCATCATCATCGTCACCGCCGTTTACAATCCACAATGATGAAATTAATGAAGATAATATTATTATATCATCAATATTTGCTGAAGATAATTTATTCACTGACTCCGCTTTAATGATGACTTCAAGTTTTCACTCCACAAAAACAACTTTTTCCAATAGTATTAATAATAATAATACTGATATTAGTAATAATAATACATCTTCATTACAAATGCATACACCTTTTATGTCAATGCATAATCAAAGTCGATCAATGTCTTCTAGTAATTTATGTGATTTAACAAATGCTACTGACATTTGTGGTAGTGAAAGTACAGCAACACAATATGATTCAATGATATACGATGATGGTAAATTCTGTACATTTTAATTAAAATTCATATTGTCCAATAGAAAATGTATTGTATTGTAATAATATTTAGTTTAATTTGTATACATTGTAATGTATGCATCATAGGTTTGATCTTCATTGCTAGAGTGTTAGTGAAAACTAGTAATTTGTTTTGTCCTTAGTATTTAGAGCTTCTCGGCAATGTCCACTTTACTTACAGCTCCATTAGTAATCGAACCTGAAATTTTCACGTTTTGATCAGTGAGTGGTATTAAATTAACATCCGACTAGTTGACTACTGATTGTTTGATTGTGATCGATCTTTCTTGTACGAATTGATAAATTAGGCTTGTGATTCTAATTGATTGGAATGGTGTGCTTATAGAACTTTCTTCGACAATTTATCAATTCTATGGTAAAGTAGACAAAATGACTTGGTCTCATCTTGCTTTATTGTTGATGATAGATTGTGGTAGATGATGAGTTGGTCATATTTTATAATTGGTGATTGAAATAATATGGAAAAAAGAATTATCTTTTTTTGAATGACCGATTACTTCATTATATTTCAATCTGTATTGTGGACTGCTCACTAACTTTTAGAATTGCATTCAAGTCTAGATCATTTCATTGGATCCTCGAATACTGCTTTTCACACTTACATTTATATGGGTAGCTTAGTAGTGTGTCACTAAGGTTACCGTAGCTGCTATTTCGATGTGGTGGTCGGGATGGCATATCGTGATGACAGCAAGGCTAAAGTCAGCAACTTTGAGTTCCGAAATTGAAGTCGTGCTTCTGATTGCACAGATGTCTGAGGGTGATTAGGTGTTCTGAAACAGTCGGGATCTCTAGTGACAATGATTTCACATAAGAGAATGAAGAGGTTAGAAAATATCATCTGTGAAAACAATATACCTCACCCTGCCTCATGAATGTTTCTCACCACTGGTATGGTCTTAATAGTACGGGGTAAGCTCAAATAGATCTTCTTACAAAAACTTACTTACTTACTTAATTACGCCTGTTACTCCTAGTGGAGCATAGGCCGCCGACTAGCATTCTCCAACCCACTCTGTCCTGGGCCTTTTTTTCTAGTTCCATGCAATTCTTGTTCATTTTTCTCATGTTTATCTCCATGTCTCGGCGTAATGTGTTCTTTGGTCTTCCTCTTTCCTTTTGGCCTTGAGGATTCCATGTGAGGGCTTGTCTTGTGACGCAGTTGTGTGCTTTCCTCAAATGTGTGTCTTACAAAAAGACTATATGTAATTGACTTTAAAGAAGTTGTTTATAGGACCATGCGGCCATTCTTCCGGATCGTCAAGATCCACTCATAATTCAACTTCTTTTTGAGGTAATCCAAACAGTAGTATCCTTTTACACTATGAGCAACTGGAAATCGACAACTGCTGTAATATCTCTAGTAGCAGTCAAGATTATATCTTCTTACTAATCCTCATACATATACACATTCAATAAATAGTGTAGTACAATGTCATACACTTAAATCTATATTTTAGTATGATTTCAATCTTTATGAAAATTCCAGTTACTGTTTAATCTGCTTTTTGGTTTAATCAGAAATAACACTTGAATAGTATATTTGTAAATATTCATCTTCAGTTTATTCCTATATTTAATAAGTTAATCTTTTTTGACATTGTTTTGTTTTTCTTTACAATATACATATTCATTCATACAATACAATGATATACAAGATATGAAAACTTCTCGTGATGTTCTCCTTTTAAAATCATCATCATTACCGGAAGTAAAATTACACAAGTTCATTGAACAACAAAATCAAATTACATCATTTACATTATTAGATCATAATTGTTTCAAATGTCGTTTAAAACGTATTCATCAAGAATATTTTCAATTACTTCAAGAAAGTTTAAAATTAATCAATAATAATAATTGTCATGATCATACTGATCATTATCAATTACAACGAAGTACTTCTGAAATTGTAATTGATAATAATAAATCATCAACAACTGAAATAAAACAATCTAAATCAATTTCATTAGATGCAATACAATTAAAATGTCTTTTCAATGTAAGTTTTAGTTCTATCCTTTCATAAATAAATTTTAGATTTGTTAAAATTGATTGTATATATATCTACTACTGGACAACTACGTCTACTATTTTTTTTTAGATACTCTACAAAAGTTCAACACTAATCATCTCACAAGGGGATCAAACTCATGAACTTTAGTGTATGTTTTTTTTGTTGCTGGGTGTAGGGTTCATTAACCACACTTTCAACCTTACTAATTTAGCTTCGGTTAGGACCAGCAGGAATTCTTGGAAATGCTGTAGGTGACGTTTCGTGAAGTGTAACAGCCGTATAAAAAAATTTAAATGTAGATTTAATTAATCGTAGCCAATTATTAGACTTCATACAATCATCGATGTCTTCGGTCAGTCAGTCAGTAACAACTTGGAACTTCGTACGTACGTACATCAGTTTGAGTTGCCATACCACATTAGCACAGAGATACAATTGTCAATTCAATTCCCGTAGTATTAGAGGTAGTAAGAGTATGAGCAGTAATCTGAAAGATTAAGGTTTGAAGATGTTATTCAAGGAGTATAATCCAGTGAAATAAATTTGGAAAGAGAAAAAGAAAGGGACATGAAGAATTCAGAAGATTAGAATTTGGGAGAACAGAAAAAGTGGATGCACCTGCGCCATTGCAAGCGAATTTGAGCCATGTCATTCAAGGTCTCTAACCATCGGTTGCTATCATCTTGCGGTCCCCAACCAGGTAGTCTATATTTACTAACATGGATCAGTTCACTTGTCAGTGACTTCGTGGATTTGAGTCATGTTTTAGTCTGGCAGTCCCTAGCTTTCTTCTAATCTACTCCTACATCATAAAACATCGCACGTCGTGGCAGTCGGTGGTTGGGCATACGTAACACATGTCTCACCTGTCTCTTACTATCAACCTGGTTGACTTTACACGTTAAAAATTCTGGCACACAAATAATTTCTAAAATTCAATCTTGAAACTAATCACCTTACTTACTTACGCCTGTTACCCCTCGTAGAGAAGTATGGTCTGCATACCAACATTTTCCATCCAACTGTGTCCTGATCAACCCTTGCCGGTTGTTATTCATCCTTTTGATGTCTGCTTTCACTTCCTAACGTAGTGTGTTCTTTAGCCTTCCTCTTTTCTGTTTCCCTTCAGGATTCCAAGTTAGCACTTGCCTCGTGTTACAGTCTGGTGATTTCCTCAATGTATCCTCAATCTCTCCACTTCCCTCGTCTTTTTTCTAATTTCCTCTTGTTTTGAAAGCTGGTATATTTTCTTCCACATTAGGTTGTTTCTAATGATATCGGATCAACGAACATCGAGTATCTTATGTAGAAAATTTTTTATAAATGCTTGTATGTTTTTGATGATGATTGTGGTAGTTCTCCAAGTTTCCCTGGTGAATATAAAATTATCATTACTATTTTATTAGAGTGTTCATGAAGTTTTTGCTTTGCGAACATTCACAATCAACTTAGTTTATTTAGAAGAACTTATAAGAATCAAGATTGTACTGTATTGCCGTTTCATTCAATAATGATTGTCAGGTCATGATGAGATGCAAAATGTTGTAAATCATTTATCTTGTATTACTATCGTCTATTTACTATAGATCATAGATTTGAAACTGAAATAGAACAATTATTTTAAATACATTTAACTCGACTGAATATAATACATCCTTGATATATATATATATATATATATCACAGATTGAAATCATGAGTCAATTGAAAACCTGGAAGCACCGGACGGTCGTTTCGTCCAAGTATGGGACTCCTCAGCAGTGCGCATCCACGATTCCGCACCCCGCGAGATTCGAACCCAGGACCTATCAGGTTTTCCATGGTGGTCTAACTTTAATTGACTCATGATTTCAATCTGTGAAATTTCTAAAATCTCCACAAACCCCTTCTGATATATATATATATATATATATATATATATATATATAGTGCACATTGAAACAAAAACTCAACACTCTTCAATTGAAATCCTTCCATAATTTATCCATTGAACTTTTGAATCCAGGTAATTATTAACTTGTTCAATGAGTAAGATCATATTGGTAAAGATTTGTATTTTACTGTGATTGAAAATTCACGATTATTGAACAATATACCAGACATTTATAACTATAATCTTATCACAAATTAGATTGAAGTGTACTGACACACACATGTCATCGCCTTCATTGCTAATCATCATCCACCTTTACCAACAACAATAACAACAAAAAACAGTTTATGTAATTTGAATAATACAATGAAGAAGATGAAGGTTATTAGAATTATGTGATTTATATGCACAATGCATTTCGAACAATCTAACCATATACATGTACTTGTTAACACATTTGATATATGAAAAAATTAAAAGGTCAATTAGACAAATTAAAATGTAAACAGAATCAAAGATACACAAGAACAATGTGAGAACCATGATGGCTATCGGGATAGGTTAACGAGTACATATCTGATTAGATTGTTCGAGATGTACAGCATAATTATATGATATAATTTTGATAATCTTCGTCTTCTTATCGCATTAATCACTAGTAAATATATAATGGAGAATGTAATTCGTTATGATGCACTTTGTTTAATTCAATACTCTTATGGATTGTTTTGTTTTCTATGTATGTGTTATATCACATGTACAATTCATGTGATAATAAATTTTTTGTGTGATTATTTTCTCTTCACTGTTTAATTTGAATATGCATGTGTTAGTTCTGAGAAATCAACTTGAAATATTTAATGTTTATGAATTTATTTAACATCCTTACTTGAATTCATTCAGTGAAAATGTATTCTAAGTGGTTAAAGACTAGGAAAATGTTAGATTTCATTTGGATCACTTTTTCAGTTAGTCAGCTACAACGTAGACCCAGGCACATACATGCATCGGTCCAAGTTGCCATACCTCATTAACACAACAAGATGAACACCGGATTCATAAAAGTAGTTAATTCAGAGGTGGTAATATATAAAAGAAAGATTGAAATAAGGATATAGTACAGGAAGAAAGAATTAGTTCTTAGAAAAAAAGATATGAAGAGATTTTAATCTCTTAGTTTAAGGGAAGACAGAGAGTGTATACACCAACGCCATTGTGATCGATCCTGAGCCGTGTCACCAAGAGTCTCCAATCATTGGTTACGATTGTCACGCGGACGCCAACCAAGTAATCTGCATCTACCCGACCGTTGTTGCTACCGTGATGTGGTGGTCAGACTTGCCTATCGTGATGAAGTAACCGAGCCATACTGGCTGGAACAACCGTTCCTCAAGGTCCTACCATGTCAGACAGGTCGGTTGAAGAGCAGTAAGACTAAATGCAACAAACCCAAGGTCCGAAGGCGAAGTCGTACTGCTGACTGTACAGAGGTATGACAGCAGTAAGGTGTTTCCTTCAGACAACCAGCATGACAACGACACTGCCTTCCCATAAGGAGGGGTGGGGTTAGAAAAGGTCGATCCTAAAAATGCACACCTCGCCTTATCCCATGGATATCCGTCTCTGGCGGTAAGGTCTCAAGAAGTACGGAGCTAACACAAAAATTACTCATAAAAAGGTTGTGTGTGTGACCGACTTGAAGCAGTTGTCCTTTGGTCACTGCGGTCATGCTCTCAGGTCACTAAGACCACCTCTAATTCAATTTCCTTTTCAGGTACCTCCAGGATCTCTTTTTGATTCCGATCGAGATTATTTCAAAAAATTTTTCAATTGGATTCACTATTGAATAATATACGAAGAAATCTGGATAAAAATAAACACAATTAAGAATGTAATAACCAGAATATGGTTTCATTTCTTATTGTGATTCATAGGATAATCAGTCTATAATTTGTTTTCAAAAAAAGTATAGACAGTTAGTATTTACTTATTATCACTTTATTGTTTATTCAATCATTGAAAGAGATTCAAGGTCACCTCCTCTGGGCGCGTGATTGTTAGTTTGGACACTTATTATCCAGTGTTTTCCAGTTTACGGTGATTCTCAGATATCATTAATTTTATTAAATGCAATCCGTAAATTTTTCGCAAATTAATGAAAGTGGATATTATTGAACCAGTAAAGAAAATGTAAAAGATCTAACGAGACTCATGTGAAGCTTTAGGATATGTTGATGACTAGGGGATGAGCGTCCCGCGCACAGTGTATTCATTGTTGACCTAGTTCAAACTTCTGAATCTTCTCTGATTTCAATGGTTCTCTAGCAAGTGATCAGTCTGTTCATATTCGAATTCACTTGGAAAAAAAGTTATTATGTAATCTAATAAATGAAACGGTTATTAGTTCGTAGTTGTACAGCGTAAAAATGAAACTTTCTATTATTGATTAATCAATAAGTAATGAGACTAATGTTTCATGTACTACTGTGGTGAATGCTACTTATGTCTGTTGACATAAGTAGTATGTAACATCAGTCGGAATTGGAAAACCTGGCAGCAGAAGGTTGAGAAGATCGAGTTGAAAAGAATAAAAGGAAAAATAGAAAGAAATTGTGAACTTGAAGAATCATACAGAATGTGAAGGACAAATGATGGAAATTTGCAAATGAAGTATTCAATTCATTACTTAGTTACACCTGTTACTTCTCGTGGAGAAGCATAGACTGCTCACCAGCACTCTCCTTCCAGCCCTGTCCTGTTCAATCACTTCCAGTTCTTTGCATTTGCTATTCATCCTTCGGATGTTTGCTTCCAATTTCCTACGTAGTGTGTTCTTTGGTCTTCCTGTTTTTCGTTTCCCTTCAGGTTTCCGAAATACCCTGTAATTTTGTATGACAATGAGACTGATTGTCCTCACCTGTGTTCTCATTTATTGCATTACTTTTGATCGAATTCTATCGATTAAGTAGCGATATGGCTAGCTAGACCTAAGTGATTTTATATCACGTACATTATGATTACTGACGTGTTAGTTTTTTGATGGGATACTCTGCCTTAACCTTTTTTCCAAAGCTAAATTCATGACCTCCCACTGCTCGACAGGTAAACTTCTTATCACTTGACTGTCAGTAATGAAAAAAATTGATTTTTTCGGTATCTCTATTTTTCTAAAAAAAATTTCGTTTTTTTGTCTTCCCTCATGTCCTCATCTTCATTTGTGATAATAAAAGGTGTTGGAATCATGTTCATTATTATTTTTAAAATCCAAACACATATCATGTCAATCATCTCATCCTGTTTGTACGGAACTAAGCACAACGACATCATCAAATGGTAATGATACTTGTTCAAATGTTTCGCAACCAGATTTATCTACGACATTCAGGCAAGAGACTATTGACAGTTTAATTGACAACGACTCAACAGTAAAAGAAGTGAGTTGTTTATTGTTTTTCTTTTTATTAGATGTATATGAATTAGCTCGACTTATCCACTGATTCAGTGTTATTTTTAATAACACGAAACAGTTTGACGTTTTTTTACCCTTTTATTTTACGACTTGTTTATATCTCCTTTCTGTATTTCAATTTATACAATTGAGTATATTCATTTCGTTAGTAATTGTTCTATTATTTATAAAACAAACATGCGATTCTGTATAGATTTCTTGTAGACGCCAAGAACTTATATTACTTACTTGCGCCTGTTACCCCTCGTGGAAGAGAATAGGCTGCCCGCCGGCATTCTCCATCGAACGATGTCCTAGTCAATCCTTCCCAGTTGTATTACGATGAATGATTGGAAAAAATTTTCAGTTCGCATGCACTTGGAATTGTCTCGTTCCCATTAAGTGACCGTTTATAGAGTTGATTTCCTTAACCTCCACTGTAATTTAGTTTAAGAGTTTTGAAATTGAGTAATATTTTGATTGAATATATTTTTAATGAATCAAAGTATAAGGCTTATTGTTGACTGAATTTTGATCAGTCTTTGTAAAAATAGTATGTACATCATATGTCGATTACCTCGATATATATTCATTTTATCGCATGAGTTTTTAGAGTATATGTATTATGGTTAACAGTGATAGTTAGGATTGGCTTTTCATCCTATTTGGAGCTCGTCAGGTGGATGTACCTACTGAATTTTGATTTGTAAAGATACCATACCTGTTGTACAACTATTTGGTGGTTTTGATGGACCTTTCTAATGGACGGTATTTTGGTCGAGTCCCGGTTCGAATGTTAACACAGATTCAGATAAATGCATTTGATGGGTCTCAAGTAGGATGAAGTGCATCTTTCATCCCAGTGTTAATCTCAATTCATCTTTTGGTGAATTGTGATATTGTTGTTTGAGGTGATCCTCAATGTTTTCAGTGTTCAATGCATTTGCTTTGTCTTACACTTTCGTCCACTTTTCCGTGTGTTTTGCACATCAGAATGTTACGTTTATTAAAGGCTTTTATTGTGTCTGGAAAGATATACAACTGTCTGCTATCAATACATTGATGTAGTGCAGTCGGATTAAAACAAAAGGAAAACAAATTTGTTGAAAGTGTTAGGTTTTGAAGCGAAATTTCTCAGATGAAAATTACACTTTAATTTTGCATCACTTGCTCACTAAATTTATAGAAATCAACCCAAACGTTCTGGAAACATTAAGTTAAGTCCTTTCAATAAACGATATTACTAATCAGTTCCATGACAGATAATTCATTTATTTATCTTCTTGTTGCATTTGGATTCACGAGTCGATCTAAGCTAGACCTTTGTTGAAAACTTGGGAGCACTGGACGGCCGTTTCGTTCTAACATGGAACTCCACGCTAATGCTCATCCACGACCCCACACGCGTGACTCAAACCCAGGATCTTCGGTTTCGCGCGCAAACGCTTAGCGTCTAGACCATTAATCCGGCATACAACAGTGTTGTTGTCTCGCTTCAACTCTGATCGATCTGTAATTTTAAACAACCCTTCATACTTTATCGAAAATAGGGAACTATCTCACACCCGTGAATTCAGCTGTGAAAATAATAGAATCTTCACAAATCTCTATACTGATAATTATCTATTTGTGTTTAAGTTACTTCATTAAGTCGATCCTAGTTAGCTGGGTAGTATTAATTACCAATATACAAATTACTAACAGTTGTCAATCCTTTGAATCATGATAGTGTCTTAACTACAAAAAACTCGATTCTTTTTCATTTTATTTACGGTAACTAACATCTGATTCAAATGGTCATATCACATATGAATTATTAATATATTTTTGAGTGTTCATCACCACATAAGGGAATTTTCAGTTTTTTCTAAGTATTGGACATTCCATCTCTCTCCTTATTTGAACTAGCTCCATTCTTTCTCTGCCTTTTTTTTGATCAAAAATAGAGATTATAGAGGTATATAATTCATCGGATCTATCAACTTCTTCCTTTCCATTAAACGCAACATTATTATTTATTTTGTTAATTGGATTGCTCATGTGTGTGATAAAATTAAAATGACGTATACCATAGTGATTATCATCATATGACATTTCAATCATTGAAATAATCAGATATGTAATTGAAGTTATATGAAGGAAAAATTAATCTATCAAACACGTGATATCATATAATTTACATCATGAATTGAATTTGTTTAGTCAACCATTGAAAATCTGAAAGGATTGGACAAATATTTCGTTCTAGTGTGGGAATGAACAACAACTTATGTTCACCACCTCAGCTGAGGTTGAACTCAAGATGTTCAGGCTTCATAACCAGTTCTTTACCTTCAAACCTCTGGTTAAAAATCCAGTCATCTTCATTTTTAATTTCGATAAATTCATAATGTTGCACAGTGGCTATCTTTCAATGTCATTGATCAGTAACTGACTACTCCATACCTGATATGATTCAATCCAACTGGTGGTAGTGGTACGGCCTGCCATTTGAACTCTGGGGTGGGATTATCCATCAAAATTAGTCATTACTGTGCATATGATTATTATTTTTATGAAGGGTTTGTAGTGGTTACTCAACTTTATAGTTTACGTCACGAACTGACCTTGGTCAGACGGCCATTAAAATCAAAGTGTCAATAGACAGGTATTTCTTCCTAGTATTGCCGCTCATTGTCGATTCGTTATAGAAACTATGAAATTAAGCAGTTTCCACAAACCCTTTTACGTTAATAAAAATGTAATCTAATTTAAGCATATTTTCTTATAGATTCTTTGTGTGTGGCTAATATTTTATTTGTTTTTTCGGTATATCATTACGTCGTCCAGTGTATTAATTGCATTCAATTGAGTGATAATACAACGAACGATACAGCAGTACCCGATGAATTGGATTTCGGGCAGTCGCTACAATATCTTATGGAAACTTTACAGTTAAACAGTAATAATCCGGTTACCACGATTTCCATATCTACATCAACATCACCGTTGTCATCACAAGTATTTCCAATCATCACTAGTAATGAGTCGATTTTAACACAGACAGAAATAATTCCAACCACGGATATGGCTACATCAATAACAATTCCCAATAACATGTTCACTAAAGGTTCGTTTTCTTTGTATTATCTAACAGCAATTCGATTATTATAAAAGTAATGCTTTGTAGTTTCTATTATTCCATGGAATTCGGTTGAGCTTACAGTCATTTCTAATAATGAGCAATTGAAATTTCTTTTTGTATTTACCCGATAGTACGGCCATCGATACACATACCCACACATTGTCTCAACTGTTATCAGTATAGGGTTGTAGCGATTGTTTAATTTTATTGAGATCATGGACAGTTCGAAGTTAGATTAAACATTGAAAATCAGGGAGCACTGAGTGGTCGTTTGGTCGTAGTATGAAACATTAAGGTGTACTCATCCACGACCCAGCACCTTTGATCTCTTGCGAGCGCCTAGTCTTTAAATCACTAAGCAGGCATACAATGGTGTTAATGTCTAAATTCGTTTAATCCACGTTATTGTGCAACCATCTTTCATTATCTTCAGTGGGTAATTATCTCACACTACACGGTTGAAATTTAATTGTCACATCTTTCCACTGGAACTCCAAGAATTTCCTATCGAAGTTAGTCACTAATGAACACATCATCTCCAATATAATGAAACCCATGAAAAGGACAGAAGTATAGGAAAAGTTTTAATATTCCGAAAGTCAAGAATTCAAAATTGAAAAATTATAACTTTGTATATTTTTTAATAGTAACGAGGCATGATCGTGAGACTCAGGAAAACTAGCAAACTATTACTGTTAACAATTAATTAGAGAGAGTAAGAGAAAGCAAAAAATTACTTACTTACGCCTGTTACTCCTCGTGAAGGAGCATAGGCCGCTCACCCTGTCCTAGGCAATCCTTTCCAGCTCCTTCCAGTTGTTATTCATCTTCTTCATATCTGCCTCCATTTCCCGACGTAATGTGTTGTTTGGCCTTCCTCTTTTCCGCTCCCCTTCAGGATTCCAAGTTAGGGCTTGCCTCGTGGTGCAGTTTGACGATTTGCGTAGTGTATATCCTATCCATTTCCATCGTCTTTTTCTAATTTCTTCAGCTGGAGAGCAACAAATGTCATGTAAAAATATGACATTAGAAAAGATGTACTCGTTTTCATCGTTATACGAAAAACTTAATAACTTGATGTCCATCTAGGATTTTCAGCCTAGATTACTTATTGTTTTACTTATTAGTATATTTCATTATTAAGTTAGTAAATTATGTTTTTCGGTTAGTTTGATGCGATCTGTCTATTCATTTTATTCTTAAAATAAATAAATGAATTTATTTATTGTAAAAGGTGGGATAAATACTTAAACCATTTAATCTATTTCAATCTACTGTTCCTGGTCTTCTCTTTTTAAATGTATGACTCATAGTGACGTATATGAACATTAATCCATGGTCACTGAGCTCAAGTGCAGTTAGATTCGAACCCATGGTTTTGTCCCTATATGGTGACTAATTTAGCAGGAAATGATGGCTAATAATCTTTTTTCTGATATATATATATATAATAGAACTGTACATTGGTTATAGAGTCTCTTATATAGCAAGTGTTACGATTTTCTTCTTTTTGGCTTAATACTCCACTAATGTTATTATCGTATATGTATGTACATAAACTCGAGCCCATCTTGGGAGCAACAGTTTCTTGCAAGACTTCAGACACGAGTCCCAACTAGCATTGAAACCCAGATTGACTGTTTCCAGTTTAGGATAGAGTCATAGGATTAATCTGAACTCTCTTGTTATGGTGTGATATGAAAGCTATCCAGCGTATAAACCTAAAGTTGTTGAAATCAGCTTAACTATACGAATGTTTAGTCTCTACATGTGTGTATTTATATGTATTCTAAAACGTTTTGTATTAACACTTAAACGACTGTAAAATGATTGTGAAGCTTATTAAAAAAAAGATCTGGTAATATTAGACGTAGAGTTAAGAGGGTTAGAATTATTTGTTGCAACATGTATGAACTAACTTTAAACTCAACAATGCACTGTCGAGAACGAAGTATTTTGGTTATATTTCCTGTAGTGGAATTATAGATACATACTGTCAAGGAGTCCCATACTAGGAGGAAATAGGTCTCTAATATTTCCTTGTTTTTACTGGTTGTGTAACTAAGATCAATTCGTGGTGTTCAGCATACTTTATGTTTGCTCGCTTGTGTTTTTATTTCCTGATGCTTTAAATCATTGCATGCGTTTATGTGTTGTCATTTTTCTTTATTACTTCATATACTTTTCGTAGGTTCTGATCTTGAAGGTAGAACATCGCCGATCTGTGTAAGTTTCCCCTTTTTATCGATTTTCGGTTACTGATTTCTCATCATTTGTCACATATTCGACATTCCTATTGAACTTTTGTGTTCACCATGTTCCAATATATTTTGTGTTAACAATAACTATCGTGAGCTGATTAAGTGTTCCAATTCTACACTACTGGAAATATTTCACTTTCGACCTTTCAGTTGTAGATCCAAAATCATTTTAGTTATAATAGTTAACGCTACTACTACTAAATGACTCTCTAAACTGAAGTAAACTTGATCAAGGTTCGAATCTATGGATAAATGGTTGAATGGTTAAACTCATAGGTCAATGCTTCACTTCTTTGGACAAAATAGAGAATTGGAATTCAGAGCAATTAATACCTTTCTTACATTTTTATAGAACAATTCGAAGAAGTTGATCCAAACATTGTGATGTATTTATACTATATATTTCAAAAAATCTGGTCACACATAGACTTGTCAAAGCGTTTGTCCTGATAATCTTTAAGCTATTTTGTGGCCCAGGGTAGTGCGGCAATTTCCTATTCTTCCCATATGAAAGGAATCTGCGTTCTTTCCTTTATTTACAATTATCATTTAATGTCTATTCGGTTTTTTTTAAATTTAATTGGACTTTATTAATTTTCATATATAATATTTCTTGATTAGGATATGTGTGACCAGATTGTTCGAAATGTATGACGTGAATACATCACATTTTCAGATCAGTTTTGTCTTCTCATTGTTCCACCAAAGAGAATAGGAAAAATATAAGCTAAGCATGCTCATAGTCTGTGAGGGAAACTGCTGGTTGTGGAAAAGTTTGAGGATAGTAGGATATTTTTTCCCTCAAATAACTAGTGCCTGAAACGATGATATCTTCCTAAAACGGAAGGAGACTAGAAAATGTTAACCCTGAGGGTACCACACTCCATATTATCCCGTGGAGTAAGCTTCCGTTCATACGAACGACCATTGACTGGTCTGAAACAGTTATTCTTTTAGACGCTATGCTTTCAATGCTAGATTGTTTGTTCTACCACTAACCTGTTTTCCTTCTCAGTTATCACAAGGAGAAGTATTTTTCTGCTAGGGTTTAGGCAAACATGAAGTTGTAACCACCTTCACACTTCCAACAGCATTTGAGATCAACATATTCATTATGAAAACTGTTATTAATTGATAACAGAATTCAGATATTCTGTGATGCATCTGACAATATCGATATATTTCTGTTCCCTAAATTCAAACTGTGTAACAGCAAACATTAACATTCAAAAGAGTTCGGACTATCCCGTTGTTTGATATTCAGTACTGACTTTTAATGAATCTTCGCTAGCTTTGATGGACTTTTGTTCTCTTAGCTGGATGGTTTGGTCGTGGAACTTTCATCGTTATTCTGAACGACATCATCAACACAAACTTCAGGTAGTGTTGAAGTGTTCGAATTACTCCACATATGGTTCACAGTTTGTCCTGTAGACCTCGACGTTGATTGGTTCTTATTGACCTTAAATTTGTCATTGTTCACTTCTTTATTTCGGTTGTATCTCCAATCGATTTGATTTTTGTTTCTATATTTGTCCATAGTTTTTCTGATTGGTTGATAAATTGGATTGAATACAATGTGTTTGTTGATTACTGATTGACGTGAGTGTCAAGTTTTTAAAAGTTCTCTGGTGCTTTTAGAATGACCTCTATCCAAGATCTCAACACTTTCCCAGTCGAATGTGTGTCCACAGTTGTCCACATGCGTTGATATCAGTGAGGATATGTCATGGTGTTTGACCACTAGTTGATGTTCGTGCAGGCGAAAGCGAAGAGGGCGTCGGCTTTGTCCGATGTAGTGTTTTTCACAGTTGGAACAATTTATTTTGTAGACGATGTTTGATTTTTATTCTTTTATAATTTCGTCCTTTGGTTCGCATATGATTGATTAAAGTGATTTTGTTGGTTTGCGTGCTATACATATTCCAAAAGACTGAAAGTTTCGTTGTAGTTTCTTATATACCCTTTATAAATGGTAGGATGATCCGTCTGTTGTTTTCCGTACTTGATTTTATTTTTGCTGATGCATTTGGTGGGTATTTTTTGATGAAAAGGACGGCTACCCAATCAACTTCATCAAATTCGAATGCAATTCATATCCTGAATTGATATTAGCTAGCGAATGAGGACTATTGAAGGTTGATGCATCAAACTGCTACTTCCCTGTAATTATGGATTGTTCTCCCCTACACTATCGATTAATAAACACTCGTAATCTTTCCCATTGGATTGACACATAAGAATTTATGGTTTTCCGTCAAGCTCTAAATACTCACCACGAAATTATAAATTACTCAGTGCCATAAAATTATTGATAGTTGTGCGCACTGATGAAGAGTTGTAATTAGGAACAAGGTAACCACCTAGTTCATTTTGATTTCATCGATGTTCCTCAATGGATGTTGGTTGTTGTTAATATGTAGCATATTAGCAGGATTCTTTTATCAACGACCTATTTTATACTATTTTTTAAAAAAAGATGTTTCGTCATTGGTTCCACTCATTAAAGCGGTTGAACATCATTATCCGTTTATGTTACCCAAGAAATCTAAAAAAATACGTCTTTCCATCATCGATAGATAGTGACATTTTTCAGCTAGATGATAGAAAAGTATGCACACTATGTACTTTACTTCATATTCAACTAGGAATTAAGTATATCTCTTAGAAGACAGCGCACATTGACAAGTAGGCACAAACAATGTGTTATTTAAAACATCAGAAAGCTACAGATTAATTATAAAATGAATTAAGCACAACTGATTTGCTACTGCGAAATTGTTTATTTACACTGAATCACGTTTATCTGTTTATGTGTCTAAAATATGGGTAGCATATCTAAACCCGTGAATTAGACTCGAATAGGCATGTGTATCAGGAAATATAAACTATGTACTTACAATTCTCTACCAGTAAACAATGAATATAATGAGTGATGGCAGATATTGATAATAATTCACAAATTTGCGGTACCTATTCACAAATCGAAGGAAGAGAGCGAGAAAATTTCCTTGCAATTAGTTACCAATCAGTTACTAAGACGCTTAAAATTAATAAATATGCAAACATTAAAACATAGAGACCACTAATTTATTTTGGTTTTTTTTAATTTGAATCTTCCCATTGATGTTTTGGACTGTAGCTGATCAGTCTATTATTGGCATATGTACATCCTGTGCGAATTGAGTTAATGTTACCTTGTGTCACAAGCATTGTAAGCAAAGATGAATGGTGGTTAGCAATCAAATCCAGAGCACACGTTTCGTCCTACTTGGGACTCGTCAGCCGGATGAACCTGTGTTTGAAGCTGACGGTGCTGGAATCGAGTTCCGGAGTGAACATCAACTCTGGAATTCAGGTACATCCAACTGATGAGTTCCAAATAGGATGAGACGTGCGTCTTGGATTCCATTGCTAGCCACCGTCCATAGAGATAAATATTTATGAAGTTTTCAAACCAACTGAAAGATTTGCTAGATTCAAAACTAATAGATTAACTTCATAAGTATTCATCTTTATGATTACAAAGCATTCTTTCACTTTATTCTCATTCATTACTACCAACCCTCACCTTTTTTCTTTTATGATTACCTGGATTCAGAGAGATTATCAATGGTGATCTCGGTATTAAATAATAGAAATTCTTCATTCATCCACACACACATTCTTATTTATTAGTTTCCTGTCTAGTATTGATTAGTAATAATAGTAGTAAACTGTTTAATTATTATGTTATGTTTTTAATTCTATTGAATAAAAAATCTAGGAAGTTTCAACGAGTCTAACTTCTTCATTGATGAGCGCTACTAATACTACTACTACTACTTTAATAATAATAATTATAATTATCCATTGTCAACTATTTCTCGTTCTACTTCGCCAATATTACAACAACTAAATCATAACAATGAACAGACTTGCAATCTTACAACTGGATCTTCTTGCTTCAATAATATTTCATCAAAATTAACTAATGAACGTTTTACTAGTTTTGTACATGCTAAGTGAGTTGTTTATTTTTCTTTATTATTATTTTGTTTTTTGGAAAATATTCTGTACTACATATTGATTGAATATGTGACGTTTTTTAATGTTAACAGTATATCATTGTATCCTAGCAGTTCCAATCATTTAGTGGATCAGTGAATAAGTACTAGTTGTGAAAGTGTAGTTTCCACCAAATATTTCATTCTAAACACCCTTCCCTACTCCTTAACTTTTATTATTTTTGTGCTCTTCATCTGATTTGTTGTTCTGCTCTCTACACTATATATATATATATATATATATATATATATATATATATATATATATATATATATATATATATATATATATATATATTAGTATCAATAACTAAAGACATTAAAATGGTAGTTGTTTCGATCTATATACAATTAATGAAAGAATGAAATCTAGAAATGATGAAAGATCAACAGATCATAGTCAAAGGAAATGAAACTAGTAAAGCGTAAGACCGGTGATTGCAGATTATCGTCATCTTATGGGCGAAAATTCGAAAGTTTTTCACCTAAGCCTTAAAATAAGTCACGTTATATGCTAATTCGACTTTTGTTTAGCTGCTCAAACTACTAATGTGCTAGCCAGCCTCAAGTGTCCATGGAATAAGCGTTGACTGGTCGCTTTTTTTGCTGAAGATCTGAAATCTTATCAAACGATTTATTATTTCTATCTAGCACTATCCTCTTACAGTCCATGATGCCTGATTCAGCCACAGATAAACACACTTCGTATACGCTTATTGAAAGCATCGATGACAGTGAGAGTACAGGGTAATGTTTAGGAGGCTTTAATCAGAAAACCGAATTATAGTTTGTATAAATCATATGTACCTACATACAGTCAGTCAGTCAGTAACAACGTAGAACTTCGTACGTACGTACATCAGTTCGAGTTGCCACCTACATACAATTGTTCTTCTGATGCAAACACAGATGTGTTAACTGATATCTTAAGTAGGTTCACAATAGAATTCCTCTCATAATGTCTCGTTTATATTCTCTCACCTACCGCCTGACCTTGAGATGGATTGTGAGCGCACGCATTTGATATATCTATATTTAACCAGCCCATTGTCTCCAACTTCACATTTACTGGTCCCACCATACATCATGATTGAGGCTTTAAAACATATTTATTATCAAGTAACTTCAATCTTATATGTTTATTTTAAACCCTTATGCGTTGGTGTTTCGGAACCTTGAATTAATATAACACTCACTGTTGCATGGGTGTACTCACCTTTTGATAGGAAGATGAAAATCCTACCTATATTGCATGTCATATCCAGACTTTGTTGATTTGCAGAAGTTAGTTCAACTGACGTAATCAGATAAACCGGTGGTTTGGCACATACGTATCAACTGTTTCAACTAACTCAATTATGTATACATATATAGTTTTACTTATATCTCATTTTTATTTATTTTCATTTTTTACTCCTTTTTATACATAGCTTTTTGCCAGATGATATTGTAATATTTGTTCCTGTTCCAGGAACTAGACCAAGTATTTCATCATCAACGTTAAACACTTCGCCAACTGCAATCACTACCATCACTTCTGTCACAGCAACAACGACTTCTACTGCAAGCTGTATTCCATCACAAAATTGCCATAATGCTGTAAAAGCAGATGATGGTACTGTTGCTACTACTACTACTACTATTAGTAGTAGTAGTAATAGTAATAATAATGTTCATGATTCAACAATGATAACTAAATCTGACATTTGGTCAATGAATAGTAAATTCGCTTCGAATCTCTTAGATGCTATTTCACCATCATCTAGTTTATTATCGTCAATGATTGTTCAATCATCGTTACCATTTTCATCAATATTTATGGATTCGTTAACAGGAGGAGGAATTGTATTAGGAAGTTCTGGTACTAGCACTACCGATACTATTACATCTGTCACTACTACAAACACAAGTGACAGTAATACCTTAATGAATAGTAGTAGTATCTTATCTACGCCTAAAAACATTTGTGCTTTAATCAACAGTAGTAGTGTTGACAGTAATAGTACATTAGCTAATGAATTATGTACAAGCACATTTGGCGGTAATTATGGTACACTTTTACCTTCAACTACTACTCCTACTACTAAATCTGGTTGTAGTAGCACTAGTGTCAATACTACAACAACAACTGAATCATCTTTCACAACGTCCACATCAACTATCACTTATGTTCAATGGCGTATGTTATCCTCGGATGGACATGTTTACTTTTTACATCAAGATGATTTTAAGGCATTGAATATTGACGATCATATTGATTACTGTAAGCCTATGAGCTCTAACGTACAGGAAACAAGTAAGTATATATATATATATATATATAGATGTATATGGATATCTCGACTACTAACTCTTGACTTTCATTTACTGTAATAGAAAATGTAAATGTTCAATAGTCATATTGAAACTGTTTTACTCACTGTAATTTTCATTATAAACAGTTTTATGAATAAATGCCATCTTCTGACTGATATGTATGGGATTAAAGACCTTTCTTTCCGAATTAATTGTTATTAACACTTTGTAAGTGTTGTTTGATATGTTACCATCCAAAAAGTCAGTGGAAATCATAAATTCTAAAGATATCGGTGAAATTTCAGTTTTCTTTTCTCAAATCGACTTACTATTTGACAAACGCTAGAGTAATATTGGTATTGAGCTTTCAGGAACCATGAATGCAAAGATGTTTTTTATTTTCATTGACATTTTAAATAATTAGGTAATTCAACAATTTTGTATACTGATTCTTGATTCCTTTCCGTTTGTATGAAGACTGAGGGCATCATGCCGTCACTAAAACATTAAATACGTAGGACGGGTTTCGAACTTGGTTTTCGCATATTAGAAAAATCTAGTTCGTGAACTTAGAAGTAACAACTTAATCAGACATTGTTGTCGCTAATCATTAATACTAACCACTCAGGTCATTTTTGAAATGATTCAATGAAATCAAGTCATGATTGTTTTTACTTGCTAGAGATTCGTTGTTCAAACTTTGAAAAAGATTTGATATCGTTTCATTCTGTAACCGTTTATTGTTTTGTTAATCAATGACTATAAATGGATATTGAGCAATAATTCAAACTTATTTAATCAACTGGATACTTAAAACTATTAAGAATTGTTTTCTACTATATAAGCAAGTTATTATGACTTTTAACAAGTGTGAGTTATCAGTTTAGCACCACTCCTCTTTATATGAGAACTAATACTATACTACTCAAATGTTTAGTGGAGTTTGAAATTACATGTATATACGCCGGTGCTTTTGACTATCCTGACGTTATGTTTTTGTCTAGATATCATTGTTTACTCTAGGTTTTCTTGTTTATCACTGTTGGTTATATTAAAGTTGAATTATATGGGTTCAGATCACTTTCCGCCTTGTAAATAGTGTTTGCTGGACATGGAACTCTATTCATGTAACTGTCGTTTCTTTATGGCAACGTTTATTGTTATGATGTTTTGTGGTGTAGATGATTTAATCAGTAGACAAGCATCACTTTCATTTTAATCAACAAATATATTCGCTTACATCATAAATACACGTCGACAATAGCGCCTAGGTTTGAATTCATCGGGACACATCAGTTCCCTCAACATTACAGGTATATCTTGCTGGCAAGTGTCAACTAGCATGACTTAAGTCCAGAGTTTCCTATTAGTTATCTCCAATTGTCTAACATAGTAAAGCATATCTAGACCACTACTAGCCCTTATCTGTTACAAATTTAGGTACGAGTTTAATGTTCTAATTTTGTCTATGTTTTAGATATTACATGTAGGTTATTTGACAAATGTCCCAGTTGTATTTTCACATTTTTCTCTTGTATTATGTTTTGTGTTAACAGATTCATCTCACCATAGGAATGTGTCGTTTAAAGAAGCGTTTCAGGCACATAATTATTTTGTCGCAGCCAGATACAAAAGTAAAGAACGTTGTTTATCTAAACGAGTAAGTTTATCTATCCGTTTATCCATTGATAGACCTATCTGATGATTGTGTATCCTCATGAGTGTTGTTTTGTTTCTTTTCTTTTTTCTACCAAAATTCAACCTCACCTGAACACAGTCATTGTACTTGTTAGTTGAGTTTATGTTTGACAAACATATATGGTATAAGAGAAAACTGGGAACATATCGATCTGTTGTTTATTGTGCTCTTTATACGTATTTAGTATTTCTTTGATTTCCATTCAATTTAATATCGATTGCAAACAAGACTAATCACAGTATTAACAAATTTTTATATTTGTGATGCCTTTAATTCATTTGGTTGTTTTTGAAATTATCAGAATTAATGAAGGTACTGTACTGAGCTAAAGCTTAGAATCGTGTTTAAATTCATTGAAGTTAATCTGCTTTGGTAGGGATTGGGGCGACTGTCCCACAATAGACATGATTATCAGACTAACTGTTTGACTGGAACTTACGCTACTTCAGATAATCAAACAAAATATACCTGTCTGACGATTCATTTTTAATTCAAACAAACATAGGTATTGTATCTTCAGCCATCTTTTGTATAATGGAAGAAAATAGTCAACAGTCTGTAGTATAACTTACATATACTGTACAACATACAGTGAACCGGATAGGTAGGTTTATTCACATTCATCGAAAAAGAGCTGGAGATATGTGATTATTATTCATTCAAGTTGCCTTGTAGTTAGAAATTAATTGATATAAATCCTAGTCAATAATTTTATGGATGTTAGTTCATATTTCGACTCAGTCCAAGTATTCTTTCAACTTTCAATTATCACCCTAATGTCGTTTTGAGTTGTGTTTTGTTTTTGTGTATATCAACATTAGCCCCAATTGGTGACAGTAAACTTGTTTAATCTCCGTTTCGATTACTTAAGACGTCTGTTGCGCTTCTCGGAGGTTACGCTCTCCAGCTGTCTCATCGTTTCACGGCTTATCGTCTTCACATTGTTCCGTTTTCTCTTCTATACGGTTAATTTGCATTTCAGGAGCAAACTGGAAGAGGGGCTAAGTTTGATCATTAGGAAAGTGGAAGGTTTAGTGTAGTAATCTAATTATAATCATGGGACTGCTTGATAACCATTGTTGGATATTTAAGCTCACCGTTGTAGTATGGAAGTCATACGTCATACATCTTGTACATTAGATTGCACACGTTCTAATTAATTTTGTTCATAAACTGTCCTAAATATTTATGTATTTCCTGAAATTGTTTTTTACGTTCCACCAACTGATGTAGTTACTTGGTTCGGGTATTTACCGAACTGATCATATGTATTTTAGATCGGTTTTGTAGAGGACTAGATTTTATTTTACAGAGAATTATTATATCTGTTTTTGTTGTCGAGTTATCAGATATCTGGAATATGATATTTTTATATTGTTCTTATCGTAAGCTTTCATTTTCATTCGTTGAGTTGTTAGATGTTTTACTGTTCCTTAATTATAGTTATTTAATTACGGGCCTATTGTTCAGTTTTGTACAGTTTGTGGTGGATTGTGGTTATGTAACTGATGTGAGTTTTGGAGTTAGAATAATAGAAACTTAATCGGCTTACTGCTTTCGTGTTGTAATTCATTACTAGGGTTAGGAAGAGCCAGATGAACCAATAGAAATTAGAAGTTTCATTCGTTATCTTTCACGGTTATTTAGTTATTCGTCAAAAAAGTGGAAGGTCATTTATCCAAATAACAAAAGGTGAACTAGTTATGATTGGACTCCGTAATTAAATGACTGGATTGAACTGACAATATGAAAAGATTTGGTTTCATAAATCATGTATGCTTATATGATTTCATTACAATTAATTGATCATTGAATAGAGTGATCAATGTATTTATTTAGTTCTTATGGTGCTAATCGGATTCTATCGATGAAGTTGCAATCTGATCACTGGTCTAAGTGACTCGACATCGTGTGCACAATGTTGAAATGTAATCTGGTGGTTGATGGTAATCGACAGAAAACACTGAATTTTTGTTTCTTGTTATTTGGTACTCATCAGCAAGCTGTAACTGTAGTCTTAAAGTAATTAATACTTACCCAACTCACTGAGACACAACTCAAACTGAATGATATAATTGAATGCATCAGTGGACATCAGTCCTCTAAAGATCACAAACCTCAAGTAGCATGAAGCGTAGATTCACCGTTTTCTGTCAACTAACTATCTCTAACCACTTAACATTAAATTAATATTCTATTAATTTAATTTTTTTCCAACGTTTTTCTTTTTTGTCCAGGCAAATAATCGATTCAATTTGCCGAAAAACTTTATATTTTACCGTGTTCGTGCTCGTCCTTTGTTGAATAGTAATAGTAGTAGTAATAACTGTGGCGGTGTTGGTGGTATTCCTTCGTCACCTTCTCCAACTGGAAATCTTAATCGTCAGCATCATAATAATGGCAGCAATAAAAATTCTGTGATTTGTGATTCCCATCCACTTATTTTACCAGATACAGATGTTAATAAAGAGTAAGTTTATAAGTGACATATATGTGATTGACGGTGGTGGAGAGTAGAGGCGTTCCAATCCGTTTGAGATTTGTCCTCGAAGAGAATAGGTCGGCGGGTGACGGTGGTAGATAATAATCGAAGTATTGTTGTAATTATTACTAATTATTATTATTATTACAAATATTATTCTCACTTTTATTTTACTCTCCTTTGTTTTCCTCTCGTCATTGTTGTCATTGTTATTATTCTAACCTACTTGCATACCTACCTACCTACCATATCATGCCTTTCATACATTACATATATCACTTCATCAATCATAATAAATTTCCTTCACAATCAAGCAAGATATACCAAGGGTAAAATTAATAGAAAAGTAATACTCTTTAAAATGACACACACACATCTACATCTATCATAATATTAAGTTACCCCTCGACTAATATTGAATGATGCAACTCATTATACTATCCCATAACCCACAATTATACAGATGTACTTGAACGAAAAATCGTCTATTATCATCAGTACTACTTCTCAATAATACATTGAGAGAAAAGAATTGAATGTCATTATTCACATTTCTGTTTCCTTATTCTTCTACTTTGTCTCCCTTTAAACTTTTAGGATAGTTCATTACTACCATTGAACTATGTTGTTGTATATGAAACACTTACCCTTAACTATTCTTTATGATTGTGTGATCTCCTATGTATGCACTAATATTTGTTAAGCGCCTGTGTCTTTCTTTTCCCACTTTCTCCCCTATATTAAACCATATATATAATACATATATATGTATTCCTTGTTTATGTATGAGGTACCCCTTTCCTCTTATTCATCTGGTTCAAGAGGTTATTTATTCTGTGTTCTTTAAACGTCTAGATGATTTCCATCATAGAACCTACTTCTGTCTGTTGGTTTTCGATTGTTAAATCTAATCACTTGTTTGAAAAGTTTTTTGGCTTTATTACGCACACACCCTTACCATTTATTTACATATATTTTCTATACTGTGTTCTTGTTCTATGTTTGTGTTTCAGATGAACAATTGTGTATAAAGCTATCCAGTTCTCTTAACGACATTAGTATTATTATTGCCACTGTCCATAATAAACAACATTGATCATGTTGATGGTATTCGTGGTGGTATTTCCTCCTGTCTGTTTCTTTCTATCTATATTTAACATCAACTATGGCAAGCAAAAGAATTCCGCATAGATTTTTCTCATTTCTTTCTTAGATTTTCAACTTGACATGTATAAATTATTGATTATTGTTTGTGTTTGCTTTAAATACTGTGTAGATTCTTCCTGATATATTTTTCGCTCCTCTCCACTTATTGTCATCACTTCGAAATGGGTAATATATGACCTATCCAACTATACCTATACCTATATATATATATAATTATTTTTTACAGGCTTTTCTTTTTGAAAATTATTTCACATCATTTTCGTCTTGTATTATCTAAGACAAATAAAATCTTATTAAACCTATAAACTAAGCTAATCCTAACTAAATTGTTGAACAGTTACTGTTTTCTGACTAAACACAAACTATATACACTTTTTGTTTGTACCAAAAGAATTGTCATTAATATCATCATCATTATCATCGTTCTTGTTATTATTGTCAAAACCTTTATGCATATTATGATAACGTACGTACACAATGATAAAGCTTAACCGGTTTATATATACATATATATATATATATATATATATATATGGTATTTTCTGTATACAGATTACAATTAATCATCTATCGATATAGTTTGGTTTACTGTTCGATTATGTAAGATGAATATATATATTTGTATTTGTAATTTACTCTGTACTATATAAAAGACTGATAAAGTTTGCCCATTTTTAGATATAACACAGATGTGTATTCACGATCATTTCTGTCATGGTCTATGTTTTGACCTTCTTTTTTCTTTTCTTTTTCTTTGCAACTGTTAATCTTCTTTTTTTCTTTTTCCTTTATTCTCTTTCATTTATATTCTTTATATAAACACTGAGATGATATAAAACAATGACAATGAACAATTACACAATTATTCTCATCTCATACAACAATGAAAACATAACAACCATTATCATTCATACTCAGAAATAATTTCTATTAAATTAAAAGGATTTTCTAGTTAATAACTTATACATATATAGATATTGAAAGTAGAAATAGTTTAGGCTTTTTCTTTTAAAAAAAGAAAAAAAAAACCTGTTACATATATTGAATATTAATGTGAACAGATTGGGTTTTAGTCCAGTTATCATGGAAACAAATTAAGTTTTACGTTTGTTCACTTGATATAACTTGTAACCGGATCAATTGATTAGATTTAATAAACCATTATTTATGTCACTGGTCGAAATCATGAGTCAATTGAAGCTAGACCACCATGGAAAACCTGGAAACACTGGACGGCCGTTTCGTCCTAGTATGGGACTCCTCAGCAGTGCGCGTCCACGATCCCGCCCCCCGCGACATTCGAACCCAGGACCTGTCAGTCTCGTACCAGGCGCGAATATGGATCCGATACTTTGAGTCAATCAAATATGTACACGTAATTAGCTAAGAAACGATTTACATTTCTAGGGAATGACATATACACTATTAGTATCAATCTGATTCTTCAATAAAAAACTACCATCTCCATTATAGAACAACTTCATATGAATTTGAAAATGACAGGTTTATTTGTTTAATTGTCTATTATTATGAATCTAATCAATTCTCTGATTTTTCTCGGTAGTGTTCTGACTAGCTTGAATTATCCGACCTGTTTCTTTATTGTTACCGAAATCATTCAATTTAGATGATAAAACACGTTATAAATGATCTCGTCACAAATATCTAAAATTGTTCTCAGTTCCACTCATGTTGATAGAATTACTTGGTGGCTTATGCGACACTCTACTTTCATTAGTAGTATATCAACAGTTCGAAACTCCACTCCACCAATTTTGATTTCGGCAATTAATTAGCTCAAAATAGAGTACATAAATATCTACTTATTAGATGAGTTATCTTCTATTAATATATAAAAGGTTTAAAGGTCTTTTCAGTTTTTTTCTCCATATCTTTAGGTATATAAATGTTCACTTATATTCCTTGTTTTCTTTCTCATACAGTCATGCAGAAAATTTAAGTGAAATTACTCACAACTTAACCATAAATATAAGTATATATATGTAGTCAAGGTTTATAGGAAAACAGTTACTTTTAAGGCTAATTCTAGTCAGCTGTAAGTACGTTATGAATCACACTGGTTTATTTTTGTACAGACATACGTAATTATAAAATTGTTACTAAGACAACAATCTTTGATACATGTTTTTATCGATTTACAAAACTAAACTGCTCTGATAAAACCAAAAAAAGGTCAAAACGACCATGAGTTTTTCGTCCCTGAAGTGATCATATTCACACACCGCTGAGGAGTCCTATGCTAATACAAAACAACTATTTAATGATTCATGGTTTTAAATAAATATACCCACCTAATCAATCCATAACAAATATGATCTATAAATTAATAACTAAACCGAATGTTTTTGTATAGAATTAAGTCGGTGAGATAGTAACAGAATTGAACGAATCATATAAACAACCTTAAATTCATTTTTTGAATCTGTAGAATGGTTACAGTCGATTAGGTGTTCAAGTATAAAACTCCTAACTGCTTTCCTTTCCCCCTTATAGAACCAAGCATGAATATGTTCCCGTATTCGAGTTGAAAGCGAGCGCTGGCTACGGCCAATTTACCTTGCTCCACAAGACCAGGTGAACTGGTGGAGGCGACCAGACGCGGAAGCTTGTCTTTTATGGACACAGAAATTAAGTTCCTACTCGTGAAGGTTATTAACAGAATTGTTGAAATGTATAAGGACGAAATGAGTGAATCATATCGAAGAGAAAGGAATATATGTATATAAAGTTTATCAAATAGATTTTCTAATGGAAATGAACATTGTGTTAGGTCGTAGTCAGAACAGTAGAATTCGAATCTCCATTTTGAAACACTATTCCAGTCCTTTTAAATAGAGTATTAATCATTCCTTAAAATTTAGAATTTGATCCCTTTTGATAAAGTAGTTTTAATAATGTAATTTATTTGCTTTCATACTCTGGAAAGTCCTCATGAATTTACTTAGGAAAGTAAGTTTTAATGCATCTTGTTCCGCGTAAATGGTCAGATTAATAAAGTGATTCCTCTTTCAGTTTGCGTGTCCACTATTGAACACACGCGAAGCATTAGTTATAGTTTAGTTCTGTTGACAAGTTGTTTGAACTGTTCTTTTTAATTTATAAATTAACATTCAATAAGCGCGTTATCTCTTATTGTCTGAGAATAAGAAGAACAGTTATTGACTCATTATTCTGTTGTGGGATAAATCATATAAGTCTAAATGTGTCAAATAATGTATATATGAGTATAAATTGTTTAACTGAACTTACATTTTAGGTGAAGGTCATCGGCTAACCAACCAATAATTACTTAGCTTTCTGTGTTGACCTTCATATTAAAGCGTACTATTACGTATGCCTGCCAAACTATCATAAAAATCATTCATGCTGTTGTTAATGGTGCCATGATAAAACAAAGTAAGGTATGAGTTTATAAAATAAATATAGCTTAAATGAACTTAAAAGTAATTGCAGAGAATTATTTCTCCCTGTAAATGTTATAAAACGATATATTCCATTAAATAACATCGCTTATATGCCGTATGCATAATTAATAGTATAAGTACGTTCTAAAGGTAATTTTCATCACCGATTCAAAATTAGTAAACCCTAAAAAAAACGAAGACACAAGACACCTTTTACTTCCTTGCCTGCAATTACTCGTTACTGAGTGCTAACGATTTCATATAGGATTTGACTAATCTTCTTCAGGTCTAACATTGAGTACGGTACTTTGCAATCACAAAGTTAGGGAAAAGTTACTCGAATTCCCAACCTTAATTGATTTGTGATATAATGCTATTAATGTACACTAGTCACGCCTTCTCAGTAGAAATTTATTATTTCTATTTGAAGCTAGTCGCTTGTAAAGGTATGATTGTTGTTAGAAGAAAACGTGAAAACTGTTCAACCTATTTGTTCTACAACTGGAGCTATTTAGTCTCATTTTGTTTCAAATTCTTTTTGCCGCACACATTTTCCTACAGTAGGATATCATGAAAAAGGTGTAAAGATAATTGGTTTATGATATAGTGCAGAGGAATGAAAGATAATGTATCTTTATAATCTTTCGACCGCTGTCCTATACTTTCTATATCAGTATACTTTACTGATGACTGACTGCCTGACTTCACGAAAACTTCTTTTAGTCCTAATATAAATATATAAACATATTAGGAACGAAATTTATACTGCTAATAGCATTGAATAACGGTAGTAATAAGTCGACTGGTCAAAATCTAACGATGTTAGTTTTTATCTGCTCGGTCATTAATCAATAGTACTGAAAAGTTACAAACAAGGGCGAGGTATCTGGTTAAGAGTTACTTAGTAAAATTGAAAAACCATATAGTAAATCGTTAATTTGCAAATTATCAATGCATCATATCAATCTGAACTATTTCTGTTGTAAACATCAATCCATTGTTCATGCGTTTCCTTACAAATTGCATTGTGCTGTCGCTCTTCCTTCCTTGATCTTCCCCCATCTTCTGCTGCCAGACATTGCGTTTTGAACTCGCGTGATATACTATTTACATCGATATAAGTAGCACGCACCACACTTTATCTAAGGAAGGAAGCATTCATAAAATAGTTCAGTTTCCTGTATGCCAAAGCAGATATAAGCAAATCAATGTTTCAAAGACAAATGATGTAAAATTTATGGTTGCAAGTGCATAGTATGAATAGTCATCAACTCCATGTTTGTATAATCCTTATTGCTTATTAAATTTTAAAAAAATTTGCAGCGTAACCACTAGTTTAGATGATTATAAACCTCGTGTGCTGTGTTAAGTTGTAAGTTGGTTAGAATTAATCAACAAGGAACGCTCGACCTAGGTTTCGTAGTA